GTTGATAGGTTGGTTAATGTTTTGAGTCAAGATCTCCGATAACCCATCCTGACCTGGAATTTGCTGACTGTGAACGGATTCCTCCCTCTTCCACCTTGGAAGTTCTGGGATTCTGTACCACCACCCCGGCTAGAGAGGGTATGAGGGAGAGGGAGGGGAGGGGAGGGCGTTTTACAAGCATTTGGGTTTTAAACATTTGACCAAATAATAAGCGTGTGTGTTTTACCACAGACCTTCCTTCTCCCATCTTCCTCCCCGACCCCACTCCTCCTACCCCGCCCCACCCCACTCCTCCCACCCCACTCCTCCCACCCCACTCCTCCCACCTCACTCCTCCTACCCCGCCCCACCCCACTCCTCCCACCCCACTCCTCCCACCCCACTCCTCCCACCCTGACCCACAGGTGTTGCTTTGCTCCCAATCTACGCAGTCTCGATGTTCAGAGCTCCTGTACTGCTGCTCCTCTTAGCCTACAGAATTCCATATATTCTGTTTTATGCTTAAAGCTCTTGTCACAGTCTGACTGGTGCTAAGTGTTTATGGTGGTAGCCCTGTGACTTCTAAGTCTCTTTGAAGTGACACTCTTGGTAAACATGCTTATTTATTCTTGTTTTACTAATATGGAAGTCCAAGCAAAGGCCACTTTAAACGTGTGTTTCTGGAGATCCGTGGGTGCTGCGGCCCTCCTTGTAAAGGCCTGTTGTGATGGTTGTCTTCAACCAGCCTTTTGTTGACCTGTTATTAAGCTTGACAAACTTTGGTATTTTCTAGTCCTTCTAGGATACTAACTGAGAAGTCTAACATTTACATTGCAATCCAGTGTGTGGGAAAGAGGGAGACCTGGGAATTCTTTTGAAAGCAGTATTATAATGAAGGTTTATGTATTCCGTGTGTGTTCATATTCTCTAAAGGAAGACGGTAAGCTAGATGAAGAGGATCTTCCTCCTCCCTGCCCACTCTGGCTCAGTTGTTTTAAAGACAGTAGTAACCTTCAGGCATTTAATGTTTTAATGAAATGCTCCTAGCATTAGCTGAATAATGCTGAGAGAATCCTATCTTTTATTTAAATTCCCTTCTACCTTCTAGAGATCTGTGGTTAGCTGGTCTTTTGCATAACAGAAAGAAGATAATTGTGGTGAGGATGCCAAATGAATAAGATAATCACTTAGTTTACTATGATACCACCATTGCTATCTATAGCAGAGACAGGCCTGTTTATGTATCAGAGCCTCCGAACGCTGGGTTAAAGATTCTTTTGAAAAGGAAAATGATAACCTTTTCAAATACATTTAGATGTTGCAAATGCGTGCTGTGTGTTAAGTTGTTGACCGGTTCCCTTGGAGTGTGTACTCAATTTCTTTTAGTTCCTATGTCAAATTTCAAATCATGTATCTGTGTTCATGAACTCCAATGGGAACATCTGCCCTGCTATAAACAGCCGCAACATACACACCCTTTCTGTGACAACAATTTTCAGATATCTGGAGAGCAAGCAGCATAATCCTTTGATCCCAGCTAAAGGAAACAAATGGTTACAGTCATTTTCTCAGTGTCTCAGCAGGAGGCAGCTGCTGACTGTAGCACACGGAGCAGAGACAGCCAGGCCCAGGTCTGCTAGCTGAAGTGAAGGACCACGCCAGCTAGCCAGGCTGAACAAGCCTTGCTGGGCAGCTGGGATTGTGTGATGGTGATCCCCAGGGCAGAGCTGTGCAGAGCCCGGTCCTCCAGCTGAAATGAAGAACAGACCAGGGCATTGTGGGACAACGGTCCGAGGAAGGGGCTGCGAAGAAGTGCTCCTGAAATCTGCACAGGTTCCCATGAGCCTGGCCAGAGTCTAATGCACAAGAGTGACTGGAACAACTTCCTCAGAAATGATTTTTACCAGGAAATAGGAAATGAGTGGATCTCAGTGTCCATATAAGGCCAGATGTCATTTTCTCTTCTTCCAGCCAGAATTAAGGACATCACCTGCACCCGTAAACACTCAGAAGAAACTTCCAGAAAGATCACCTAGGAAGTAGCCCCACAATAAAGGAATTTCTACCTCTGTTTTGAAAGAGTTAGTCTTGAAAGAATAAAATTATTACGTAAGTAATGTTACTCTACTCAAAATACAGTGCTCATCAAGACAAAATTGAGAATATATAACCAATGACCAAAATTAGCTAGTCATGGAACAGCAGGAAAACATCCCCAACTCGGCCTACAGAGACCCAGAAATGACAGAGCGGAAGTCAGTAGCCAAGAATGTTCAAATGGCTGTTGTAACTATAATCCTTACATTCAGGGGTGGGGTGGGGGGGAGGAAAAATGTGTGACATGAAGAGGAGTGAAGCTATAAGAAAATGCAAATGAATTTCTGGAGATTTTTTTATATCTGAAGTTTAAAAAAAGAATACAGAAGGAAAAAACAAGATACACAAAAATAAAAAATAAAAAACACGGAAGGAATGAACAAGATGCTGTGGAAGAAAAGATCTCTGACCCTGAAATATCTAGCATTTAAACTGAGAGGGGATAGGAACCTAAAGTGTATGAAGACGGGTTCAGAAGCTTTGGGACAATATCGTGTGATTGAGCACATGCAGAGTTAGGACTCTCAGGAAGAGGGGTGGAAGACAGAAAGACGATTAAATAATGATCAGATGTTTGCCAAATTTGGTGCATACTATGAAGGCACAAATCTAAGATACTCGGTCATTTCCAAGTAGAATAATCAGAAAAGAAATCAAAGCATGTCATGATCCAAGCATTGAACCCCGTGCTAAACAGGAAGTGTGAAAAGCACATAGAGAAATAAAGAAAGATACATCATGCCCAAACTTCTTATTTTGTGGAAGACAAGACAATTCAGTTAATTCTTCAAAAAATGCCAAAAGCAGGGCGCGCGTGCGCGCGGGGGGGGGGGGGGGGGGGGGGGGGGGGGGGGGGATGGGGGACGGGGGGGGGGGGGACGGGAATCTGTCAACTAAATTTTCTTTTACATACTAAAAATATCTCTCTCAAAAATCAAGGTGCAGTGACTTTTTCAGACATACAAAAATGGAAAGAACTCATTTCCAGTGCATTTGTACAACAGTGATATTTAAGGGGGTTCTTCGGGCAGGAAGGAAAGGGTGGTCTAGAATACTGAATGCTCTGTAAATGGTCAGTATATTATTTAGAGAAGAATGCACATTTTGCTCAGTATAAACACAAAGGCTTCCCAAATGCCGATTTGTAGGTGACTGGATCTGCCACAGATAGACATTGGCTGTCCCCCCAGAAATGTTCCACACAGGGGCTTTTAAACAAGTAATCCTAGATGCTTTATTGAGAGACTAGAAACAGCTTTTCTATTTGCAGGTGCAAAGATAAATTACAGTAGGTCTGTGCATCCAAGCAGTGCTGGGCAGGATGAAGGTATCAGGGTGAACCCATGTTAACCTAAAAATGTAATTTAAAAAGTACCACTCAGTCATACAAATGAATGAACTACAATTGGATATAGCATGCATGCATCTCATAACCATGCCCAGGGAAGGATGCCACATACAAAGAGTTATGAGTCATAGCTCCGGTAATTTACTACAGAATCAAATACAATAGGCTCCAAAAGCAGGCACAAAGTACCGAGGGATTCGCAGGGGTCCAGGGAGGGAGTCTAAAGGAATAACGGTGACATTCCCAACCTTGAGACATGTCAGAACTCATCAAATGTCCATTGAAAATAAGAATTGTTGGGGTTTTGCTGTTAAGACAGACAAGGAACTTGGGTGTGAGTGACAACTCTGGAAAGTTCGATGCTTTCCAAATCTCCCGAACAGTTCCTCCTAATCTAATTTTGAGGGGTGTGACGCTTATGAGAATAACAGAAGGTGCCTTTTGAGTTACAAAGGGAGCTCATTATCACCTAGTGATCAGTATGTTGAGTGTTCTGAGTGGTTTGTTTTATTCCTTCCCTGCAATATCTCTGAGAGTTAGGAACCCACTCTCCGTGTGTGGTTTGTTTTTTTTTTGGGGGGGGGGTGAAGCCCATAGACCTTATATAATTCCTGAAGATGCTGAGCCAAGATCCAATCCCAAATTTTACTCCAAAGCCTATGTTTTCCCCTCATGCTGGCATCATCTCTAAATGTTTGGCTGCTAATGTGAGGGTTTGAGCTGAAAACTTTGCTTTAAAAATATATCTGAAAAATTATTCTTAGAAAAGGTTTTCTGGGACTCATTTTCCTAAGGCTCTGTGCATTGAAATTGCCAAAGAAAGAAAAAAGAAAATAAGGAATGCTGTCCATGCTGTGTAACAAGTCCCTCCGTTGGTGGCTAACAGTGCTCCTCTTCATACATTTCTCTTGTGAAATCCTCGTGAGCTTTCAGTTCTGACTGAACTCGGAGGGATGTGCACACACACCCAAAAGGGGCTGGCTTCTGTTTTAACATATGACACATCGTGTTGTGTAAGTGAATGTTTAGATATATTATACCTTAAGTGTTGTGTAAGTGAATGTTTAGATATATTATACCTTAAGTGTTGTGTAAGTGAATGTTTAGATATATTATACCTTAAGCGTCAGTTTATCATTCTGAGGAAGAGCCTCAGTTATTGGTAGACTTGGGGGAGAGTTTCTGAAAACTCTGACTCCCAAGATTGACACACCTCCTACAGGCCATGTCAATCATCTCCACCTTTGACTATTTAGTACAACCTTGCCAGACAGGACCAGGACTTGACTCACTCATACCAGAGCTCCGTGTGTTGCATTCCACCAAAGCCTCTCCTTCCCCCACTCGGAAGACAGCCCCTTGTGCATTTTTCCATCTCAGAAAAAATAGTCCCTTGGTCTGTTTGATGAATCGGTTCCGAGACTAACCCGAAAATTTCTTATTCTTAACTTTCTTTAAAAACATTTTAAGTCACGCTGATGGCGGTCCCACCACAGGTAGGAATAACGGGGATGAGATTTTTGACTTACAGTAAACCCTAACTGTCATGTGTTTGTTTGTGGGTCCTTTTGCTCAGACGTGACAGTGGTTTATCAAAATGGGTTGCCCGTGATATCCGTGAGGCTACCGTCTCGGCGTGAACGCTGCCAATTCACACTCAAGCCTATCTCTGACTCTGTTGGTGTGTTCTTACGGCAATTGCAAGAGGAGGATCGGGGAATCGACAGAGTCGCCATCTATTCACCAGGTATAATCGCCTCCATTTTTAATTCTCGCCTCCTCCGCTCGCCCCACCCCAAACAGCCCAGTCCAAAAGAACATTGCTCGGTTAACGTTAGAAAACATGGGAGTTTTTGCTTCACAAGTGTGGGAGACAGAGCCCTTTCTGTCCCAGTGGTCCTCAGGACATAACTGTTGGATGTCAGCAGATGTGTGCCCACAGGGAGTCTCATTCAAAAGCAGCTCACATCAAATGCCACCACAAGGACAAGCAGGCAATCACATTTCATGTTATTGAGACCTCTTGTCATTACCGTAGGTGCAGAATATGTTTTTCCGGTAGCTGAGCCCTCAAATGTTTACCAAAATGGAGAATATACAATCAGACACTAAAAACTCTCATTTGATGTAACATCTGTTTATTTAAGTGCCAAAAAAAATTGTTTTCACTATGACTTAGAAAGTCTTTCAAACCTACAGAAAGATTGAGAGACTAGTAATGACCCATTTTATGAGTCACCAGCTACGACAGCCACCAACTTCTGTCCTTTGAGTTTTGACCTCTGTGCTCCAAACACTCCAGACTCATCTAGTAATGTACTTGGTAGACCCGTTTGGTACACTTGCTCCCCGTCGAATCCTTCCCTACTGAGTTAATTAGCAACTTATCGGTGGCTGGGTGGCCAAGTACGATGTGATGGACAGCGCTGAGTCGGTTCCTCACCCGGCTTCCAATGTAAAGGTCCTCACCTCCCTCGGTGACTCCAGCTGAGCCCTGTGGGTCAGTGACCAGCAGTTAGCTCGCTTGTTCCCACAGCTGCCGGAAAAGCAATTGTTAAATCCTCACAAAGAGCATGATACAAGCCCATCTGTGTTTAGCATCGGCCTGGGGGGTGCAAGGCAAAGGTTAGCCGAGAAGTGGGAGAGAGCGCTCTAAAGCTATTTGAGATTTGGGGGGGAGGGGTGTTGTTGCTGTTTTGTTTTTTTTTCTGACCATTCTTAAATAATTATGGGTTGGTGACTGGTTCCATTTAAAATCTTCACAGATGGCATTCGAGTTGCTGCCTCCACGGGAATAGACCTCCTCCTCCTCGATGACTTTAAGCTTGTCATTAACGACTTAACATACCACGTACGGCCACCAAAGAGAGGTAAAACAAAACAAACAAAAAAAACCAACCTTAGTAACATGTTGGAAATGTGGGAAGGTCTTTGGGAAGACCTTAGTTTTTCCATGAGTCACCCTGAGAACCAGACAACATGTGGTCTTCACACGTTTTGTACAGCAAGCCTGGCTTGCACCTCCATACTGGATGAGTTACCATTCCATCTCACTTACCTGAATATCCTTACCGTAATCTCCTTCCCGACACAGTGTTTTCTCTCTTTAAAACCTTTTTTATTATTATATGTGCGTGTGTGTGTGTGTGTGTGTGTGTGTGTGTGTGTGTGTGTGTGTGTGTGCGTGCGCGCGCGCGTGCGCACACACCATAGCACACTTGTGGAGGTCAGAGAACAACTTTCTTTCCCTCCATCATGAAGCCCCTCAACTTGAACTCAGGTCTCAGGCTTGGCAGCAGGCACCTTTACCGACTGAACCAACTCAGCAGCCTTTGGTTTTCCATGCAGATGATTTCTTCTGGCTTACAGTTCCAAAGGAACACATCCAACATGGCAGGGCCACATTCTTATATATTAAACTAAGATGAAGGAAACCTTTTTATGTTTAAATCAAGGATTTCTCTGATCTATTGCACACTGTACTAGGGATTAGTCATTTTGTTTCTTCAATGGTTTACGTTCAGCTGTCTGAAGTCACTTGTGCGGATGGGACTTGGCTTCCAGTGGGGTTAGTAAATCCAATGGAGTCGTAAATATAAACTGTATTTGATACACTGACTTACAAAGATTATGTCATTTTCTTGCTTGCTTGCTTCTTTTTTTGGTTTTTCAAAACAGGGTTTCTCTGTGCAGCCCTGGCTGTCCTAGAACTCACTCTGTAGACCAGGCTGGCCTCTGACTCAGAGATCTGCCTGCTTCTGCCTCCCGAGTGCTGGGATTAAAGGTGTGCACCACCACTGCCCAGCAAAGATTATGTCTTAGTTTAGTTTATCTTAAGTGTATCCAGAACTTAATCACATCAAATATGATGGAACAGAATCATCTCACAAAAAGCCCGCTTAGTTATAAATCTCTGATAATCTCATGTACAATACACGACGGGGTATTTTTTAGACATATTTGGATGCACACATGTAAAACACAACACCCCAAGCAGAAACACTAGCAGCACATGCAGCTCACGATAGGTTAGGGTTGGTTATCTCCGTGATCACATGGCTGGCTGGAAGCAGCAGTGGGCACTCTCTGCCAGACATCACTAGCATGAAAAAAGATCGGATCTCAAAATGGGAACCATGGTTCCTGTGCAGTGCCTTCCCGCCACTATAAAAATCACCATGTTCTGAGTCCAGGGCCTTCTGAAATCCTTAGAATTGCCAACATATGCATACTTACTTCTGTGGGGGGGAAAAAGTGAAGTGCCCAACTTTGGTGCACATTTTAAGAGGGCATCCAAATACTCAGTAGTCAAGGCGGTATTTTAATGGTCTCTGTTATACACACACATACATAAAATGCATGCCGCAGTATTACTGGTCTTCCTTTTCATCCCAGACTCCAAGGCAGCTTCTGGACCGTTTTCCCTCTGCCCTGAGATTCCTTGTCGTTTTCTGCTAATGCCCCTTCCACAATCAGGACCCCCTGCACTAACGTCCTAGGACATCTCTTTTTAGTCCTGCTCTTAAGAATTGGATCTAAGCCAAATACAGTGGCGCACGCCTTTAATTCCAGCCCTCGGGAGGCAGAGCCAGGCAGGTCTCTGAGTTCCAGGACAGCCAGGGCAACACAGAGAGATCCCGTCTCAGAAAAAAAAAAAAAAAGAATTGGATTCAATGGGCTGGAGAGATGGATCCGTTAAGAGCACTTGCTACTCTTGAAGACCCAGGTTCGGTTCCCTGTCCCCACACCAGGCAGCTCACAGTTGTATGTGACTCCAGTTCCAGGGAATCCAACACCCATGGCCTCCACAACATAATACACACATACATACAAATTTAAATAAATAAGTACACTTGAAAAAGAATTGGCTCTATCATAGAAACAGTTCAGAGTGAAAGCCTGAGTAAACACCCCCAGACATCCATCCATTAGTCCACATCGGCCTTCCCACCACACACCTGCCCCCACCCCCACATGATGCCTTTTTCCCTGTTCCTTCCTCTCCTCCATCTTCTCATGTTAAAATCATCACATCAGCCGGGCGGTGGTGGTGCACGCCTTTAATCCCAGCACTCGGGAGGCAGAGGCAGGCGAATCTCTGTGAGTTCGAGGCCAGCCTGGTCTACAGCACGAGATCCAGGAAAGGCGCAAAGCTACACAGAGAAACCCTGTCTCGAAAAACCAAAAAAAAAAAAAAAAAAAAAAAAAATCATCACATCAGCTCATCCATGGCACCCTAAAACATCCTATTTATTCTTTCTCTGGCTCCAAACCAACCAGAAGTGATTAACCTCTGGACTCTTGCTTACTCTTTTTCTCTGTAAATGCTCTCTGAGAGGACAGGCACTGTGACTCAGGATCATTCTGTGTTGAAGGAATTAAATAGCTCAAACAAGGAGCATTTTGATTTTTCGGAGGCCAGATTCTCTTGTCTAACAACAGAAAATGAATGAATGAATGAATGAATGAATGGTAACACTCGGGAAAGTAGATGAGAGTCTTCATATACAAGTGTGCAAACTAAGAGCTTTCATTTGAAGTGATGACTAATCCAGTGACTTCTCAGTGTTTTTCAAACAGAAAGAAAAGCTTTTGTTTCTTAAATAAGGCTGCTCTCAGACTGAGTTAGAAAAACTAAAGTTTTCATACGAGGATTATGTTTGATTCACAGGTGATTTTTTTATCTTTTTCTGTGTCTCAAAACTGTGCGATACCTGCCCAACTTTTCTAGAAGTAGATTGGGATATGAAATTTTCAGGGGTTAAGTGTCTAAAATTTATGGAGATAACTGTAACCCAAATGGTGGAGTTTGGCAATGTTCTTAAAGAATTTTTTGGTCATTTGAGTCAGTATCACTGTAGAGCCCCAACTGGCCTCAAATTATTAATCCAACCCCCCTCACCTCCCCACTACTGTGTGGAGTGTACGTGTGCACCACCATGTCTGGCTTCCTATGTAGTTTAAAGAACTGTGTGTGTGGTGGTGTATTGGGGCTTGTGAGAACTAAAAATACTCAGAATGTTGTATAAACTATGAGTTCACACGTAGCAGGCTCCAAGGACAGAGGATTCATTCATACCAAGTCCAGGATGGCCACATGCCATGTGTACATGGGACAACCTTGTGCCTAAGCCAGGGAAGCAAGAGGATCTTTATCCCAGGTTGGAACAAGGAGACAAGTCATAACAGGAAAGCTAGTGGCCAATTCTAGCTCATCTTTTTAATGGCCATGGCTGTTTGTCATTGAAGTCTCAAACAGAAACAAGACTATAGAAAGGAGCACAAAGGCCTGGAAAGTTACCATTCTCTTTTTCTTGGAAAAGAAGAAAATGTACCCCGTGTCACTAGAGGATATGATTTTCCCTGCTGAGAAGAATCATTTTGATTGGCATTACTGTAGCCAGCTCCCATTTAGCTATCTACGGGTTCTTCTTAGTGATGTGATTTGAGGAACGAGGTCGAAAGGCTAACTAACCAGTGAAAATGACTGCCTCATTAGAGACCCAGATAGCCAAGGCCTTCTCCAATTATGTTTGTGGATGACAAGACTTCCCATGGCTCATTATATTAGCATATCTCTCTGACATTATTATTATGCGACCCATGGTGTATTCAGAGATGTTGGTAAACATTGCCATTATTATTTTGTGTGTGTGTGTGTGTAAACCATGCATGATTTAACCCAAAGAACTATTGCTAAGCCATTAGCTAAAATTTTGATCTTCAGTGACGTCTCAGGATCAAGGGTTGGGGTTATTATTGTCACCTGTGCCTTGACAATACCTTAGAGCCATACATTCTTGTTAAAGCAACCTGACGAATAAATCGTAAACTCTGAGTCCACCAAAGCTTTACCAGTACATAAGCCAAAAGATAACTTTACTTTCAGACAGGTCTAGAATGGCACATCTCTGAGACCTATAACTTATCATTATCTGGCGTTTTTTTTTAATTGCTGTTAGAAGGCATTGTGGTAGCATGTTAGTTTGTTGTTATTATTGTTTAGAATAGATAATGCATTCATAAGGTTCAGCTCCCAAAGTCTAAAATAATTTACATAAAAATCACCTATTCCCCGGTCCCCAAATAGCCTTTATTGGCACATAAGCAAATATGTATACACGTTTTAGGCAAATGGTGACATAGTATCATACAAACTATTTGTATCATTTGTATCATGTCTCAGTGAAGCAGAGCCACATGAATATTATTTTAAAAAGATTTATGGTAGGAGCCTGGGAGAAAGTTAATCAGTAATATCCTTGCCTCACAGTTCTCTGAACACATGTAAAAAGAGTCTAGCATGGTGGCACATGTCTACCCAGTGCTGGGGAGGCAGAGACAGGCCAGTGAAAGACCTTGTCTCAAAGGTGGTGGTGATGTTCTGAGGACCACACCCAACATTACCCTTCAGCATCCACACACACATGCACACACATGTATGTCTTTGCCTGTCTCTGCCTCCCCAGCACATGAACATGCATGAGTACACAAATATACCCATAGACATGCATAAAAATATTCATGGGAGGAGAAAGACCTTTTACAAATTATAGCTATAGTTGGAGAAGAGAGGTCTGAAAGGGGGACCAGAGAAAAGTCAGAAAGTTTGAAGCTGTGGCACCATGGGGTAGCTCGTTAGGGAACCTGGAAATCCATGCACATCCAGATTTTAGTGGAGGCCTGCAATGAAGTGCTTTATTGTAGGTAGAGAGATTCTTCTGTGTTGTTAAATAGAATTTTCTGGCACAGGGCTTTGAGTTCAATCCCCAGGACCAAAAAAGAAAAATCTTCCTGCGATGTTAAAAATGTTACATTTTTGTCCTGTCGAATGTAGTAGCCATAAGTAAATCGACCCTAACTGGAGAACTGAATTTTTCAGGTAATTTAAATTTAGCCAATGGAAAGTTACAGAACTGTCAGTCAGAAGATTAAAAACAACAACAACAGGAGTTGAATAAGTTCAAGTGGGGTGACCATCACTAATAACAATGTATTGTACTGTTGAATACCACTGAGTAGATTTTTGTATTCTCATTACAAAAAAAAGTATGTGACATAATAAATATATGTATTTAGCCATTTCACAGTGAATGAATACATATTTCAAAATAACGTATTGATGGTAAATATATATATACTTTTAAGATAGTTAAAAATAAACAGAAGCATGTGGTTAGTGGTTCCCATATTGAACAGGCCATTTTTAGAAGTCTGCATCTGGTTCTAGGTCTAGATTTGCCATTAATCAACAAATGCTACCGATGAGAGGTCGCCCGACACAGTGGGAGGGAGCAGATGCAGTTGGTCTGTCAGCAGGCATCTCTGCATCTGCCCGACTCCCAACCTCAGCACCCTTCAAGACGTGATGCTGTCTTCCTCCTTCCAAAATCTCACCTTGATTTCCCTTTTGCTTAGCCCTGACTCAGAGCCACTCAGAGGAAGGTATTCTTGGAAGCATACTACGGTCTCACACATTGACTGGGTATAAAAACTAACTAAACCGCTTCTCTTACCTCGTAGGAGGCTATGACGACCTCACCATGCCAGTTCGTGAGGAATGCCTCCTCCTCTTCCACAGTTTTGGGCTGTGTTTGTTTGGATGAGTCTTCCCACCACCTCACTGCTTGTTTTATGACTTACTGGCAGAGCCTGATGATATCTTGATCTTTTGCCACAGTTTACATGAAGCATTAAACACATATCATGAAAGATGTAGATGTATGTATGTCAGGAAAATATGTAGGACTGTTGTGATAGAGGGAGTGTGGATCTGAAGTTAAATTTTAAAGAAGAAAAATATTAAAAAATAGCTTACAAGTATTCTTATGCCTGTGAAATGAGACACAGAACCTTCTAACTGCAACATCAACCTAGAAGAGAAAAAAAACAATTATGTACTGCCTCAGTGAACACAGGAAGACTGATACAAAAAATAAGTTTCGTAGGCACAAAGGTGCTTGCCTGAGCTTCCAGCTCAGGAGACAGAGGCAGGAGGATTGTGAGATGAATACAAGGCCAGCCTGAGCTACATAACAAGACACTGTCTCTTAATCAGTTAACTAATTAATTAAATCTACACAGTGGAACCCATGGCCTGAAGGTTATCTTTCTAAACTAACACATTTTAAATGATTTTCTAATAGAAATTTCCTTTATTGTAAAACAAATGTCAACCTTATTTCCAAATGCTGTGATAAAACATCATGACTAAGGCAGCTTAGAGAAGGGTTTGTTTGGGCTTATGGTTCCAGAGGAATAAGAGTTCATGATCATCATGGCAGGGAGCATGGCGGCAGGCAGGCAGGCATGGCGCTGGAGCAGCAGCTGGGAGCTCACATCTTGATCCAAAGGCAGGAGGCAGAGGCCACATGGCTGGGGGCTTTTGAAGCCTCAAAGCCTCCCCCTCATGACACACCTCCTCCAACAAGGCCACACCTAATCCTTCCCAAACAGTTCCACCAGCTGGGGACCAAGCATTCAAACATGGCCTATGGGCGCCATTCTCATCCAAGCCTCCACAGCATAGGATACTATTTGGGAGAGAATTTCGTTAACCATGGGAAACATATCAACTTCAGGATTTACCTCTTCAAAAGAGAACTGAGTTGCAGGGGCAGTATTAGGAGGTTTCATTTTACCTCAGCTCCTGACCTTGGAGTCGGGAGCTGGGGGGTCCACCAATGTTCTAGATGGAGGAAATGCCCTCTAGAATGCATTTGTGTGGTAAGGCTATGTTCCAATGTGAGCTTGCAGCCTTGCTGCGATAGGATCCTGTTCTCATGGACGACTTCTAGAACCCACAGTGCTCTTGTTTCTGTTGTCATTGATCCCAGACACATTTACTGAAGCTCTAGAAGATTCCATGTTGGACGTTTTACCACATGAACCCTTCTCCAATCCACTTCCCTGCCTTCCATGGATTTCTTCATTGATTAACTTTTTGTGATAACTATACTGGAGGCTATTGGAAACAGATTGTTCATGTTCCCGGAGCCAAATTTTGATTTGGGAAAGGACTGATCAGGGCTTGGAATGTAGCTGAATTTTCATTAGAGCCTCAAAACACATTTTAGAGTTTTGAAGACACCTGCTGCCCATAAAGAAGATAGTGAATTGAAGAATTTAATCTTTCACCTTTTCGATCATTTTCATAACCCTTTATAGCATGATATTGAGGCCCAGACAGCTATTCTTGGCTAAACAAGATAGAATAGAAGTTGGCTGGTATGCTGGGGGAGGTGTATAGTGTTAAGATTACTACAGTCTTGGTGTTTTTTATTTCATTTTATTTTTTGCCTTTAGCTTTGCAAATTTGATATATGTATATGTAAGTATATGTTTTCCTCAGAAGTGTCTAAGTGGGGAAAACATCAACAAAAAAATGTCAAGACCACAGTAAATTACAGACCAACCGTTTAATAAAGAATCATAATGAAGCTGACCCTGACCCCCCGACTGGCTTTGAACTTGTGTCCTAAGTTTTTTGTGTCTGTCTGTTGGTATTACTGTTTTTTAGGTCTGGGGAATCAGGCCTAGGCACTGGTGTGCTAGACAAGCTCCCCAGCCACACCCAGCACTGGGGGTAACCCTTCCCATTTCCCTTGGCCCTGGCTATATTTATAGTACTTGGACTTCCAAGAATAAAATACTAGGTATTGATTTCAAAGTTTTTTGAGTCACCCTCCTGTGATTTTTATTTCCTTCATTTATAGACTGATATTTTAAAACTGTTATTCAGTTTAATGCTGAAGGACTCCCATAATGGATGGACCTACCTCATGGCCTTGCCATTGTCTCATAGATCTAGGAATAACAATTCTTCATTTAAGGTGTTCAATTTTTATTACCTTTTTAGTTATGTAGGTGTGCACGTGCATGTACTTTGAGTGTGTGCATGTGTGCACACTTGTGCACATGTGGAGGTCAGAGGACAACTTGTGGGAGTTGGTTCTTTCCTTCCACCATGTTGTTCCCTGGGATTGAACTCGGGTCATCGGGCTTGGCGGCAGGCACCGTCACCCACTGAGCCATCTCCTGGCTAAGATGTTGTTGTTTCATTTATGTATTTATTTTATCTGTTTGTTTTTATTCTTCTCTCATACAGTATATTCTCCACCACAGTTCTGAACCTCTTTCTTTCAGACCTCCTAAGCCATGAAAACGCGGAAACCCTGAACGATGTGAAGACGCTGGTCCAGCAGCTCTACACCACGCTGTGCATCGAGCAGCATCAGCTCAACAAGGAGCGGGAGCTGGTGGAGAGGTTGGAGAACCTCAAGCAGCAGCTGGCCCCCCTGGAGAAGGTGCGGAGCCCCTCAGGCTGCTCCCTCGATGCCCTGTGTGTCAGCCCCCCAACCCCCAAGGCATGGGCTTCTGTGTCTCACTTTGATATACTCGAGTCTGCTTATTCAAGTTGGTCCCTTAGCTTATTGGTCTGAACCATTCAAAAAATTCCAGTCAGAGCCAAAAGAGGACTTAAAAGGGAGTTGTCTGGAACCTTGGCACTAGACCAAGATTCCAGAGATCCATTTGTACCTCCCCCACTGCTAATACAAAGACTAGAGTGACTGCTGACCAGGAGAGCTTCTGAATGTAGTGGATACCAGCTCATGAATGAAGAGTGTACAGAACACGATTGTGTAAACCTAATTCACTGTAGAAAATATCCGTGCAACAGAAAGTAAAAGGAGTGTCGATATGATCCAGGTTTTTTTATTCTATTTGTTTATTTATGTGTGACTGTGTGGGCATGCACATGCCACGGCGAGCACATGTGGAGAGCAGAGGACGATGTGCAGGAGTCGGTTTTTCTCCTTCTGCAGTGTGGGTCCCAGGGATTGAACTCAGGTCATCAGCTTTGCTGGCAAGCACCCTTCCCACTGAGCCACCTCACTGACCATTATGACCCAAGTTTTAATGTATTATTCATATACATTATTCATATGATGTATTATTCATATACCATTATTCATATTCATGTGCACGCTTATACACAAAGAATAATCAGAAGGAATATAATAACCTCATGCAGGCCCATGATTGACTTTTCTCCTTTACGTTTTTAGAATATTGTATCGTGAACATGTTACCCTGAATCTTTAAGATATTGCAGGTGCAGCCATTGCTCACTTAATGATGGGGATACATCCTGAGAAATGTCTCTAAGAGACTTCATCATGAGAACCTCACAGTGTATTTGTGTAGACCTAGGTGGTCTAGGTCTTTGCTCTCAGCATGACCTCTTGATATAGTCAGAAACTTGGTGACCCTGCATGTATGAGGCTTGTGTAACCATCTCAAGAATGACAATAGAAAGTATAGTTTAGACAGTACTTTGCCCAGTAGCATAGCTGTTCATTGCCTTCAAGAATCATACCACTCTCTCCTGCACTAACAGTACAGTGGACTTCCGTACGCCAGCATTGCCACAAACACATGAATCATACACTGTTCTGTGGGTGCATGTCATATGTGCAGCCCCTCACTGACCAAACCGTGTTGTGTGACATGTATGTTTTCATTTTAAGAGGCTAGATAATTGGGATTGGAGAAAGGAATAAGTCCTGTCAATGGTGTGCCTTTGCTCTCCTAAGGACAGTTGTTACCATGTGTTATTATCTACCATGCACCATGTTCAGCCTCTAGAACTACTCGATAAGAAAGCTAATGGGACCCTACAGATCTCATCCTGAACGCATTTGCTCAGAATCCGCAGTCTGTGCTGACTCCTTCTCTTGTTCTGCCCTGGGATAAATTTGAACTAAAACTGATAATAGATGGAGTCTGACACACCAGTAAGAGGACATGGCAGCTTTCATTCACCTCTTTCAAAAGTTAGCCTTGCCGTCGGATGAAGAGCTGTTGAAACTCACACTCTTATTTCCACAAGCCTCTAGGGTAAAACTTTCAGAAAGCACACAGAATTCTTAGTTGTCCCTGTAGACGTGTTCGGTGAACTCTACCACTGTTATTTAGGAGGCAGGTTACAATTGTTGGAATTGACTCCAGCTTGTTGATAAGCCCCGTTCCATTTGTGGACATAGAGCAGTTTAAAAGAGTTGTACGTTGTTTCCAAAGCAAGTGCCTAAAGGTTGTCCATGTGTGCCTGCTAGGTACGAATTGAAATCAGCAGGAAAGCAGAGAAGAGGACGACTTTGGTGCTATGGGGTGGCCTGGCCTACATGGCCACACAGTTTGGCATTTTGGCCCGGCTTACCTGGTGGGAATACTCCTGGGACATCATGGAGCCGGTCACCTATTTCATCACCTATGGAAGTGCCATGGCCATGTACGCATACTTCGTGATGACGCGCCAGGTAAGGACCCCTCTCCAGGTCTCTTTTTACAAACCAGGAATGGAGTTTTCAAGGCCAGTTCTCAGTTACGTGCTGGTAATGTTGTAGGTGCTAAAGATGGAGAGGGATGTGTATGACACGGCCTTGGCCACTATGAATCCTGTGCATAGATGCTTCTAGAATTAACATTGTAATAAGATGAGTGAGAACAGAAGGGTGTGCCACCATAAGGGGTGCATTCACCTTTTTGTTTGATATTTATTTATAATGCTGTTTTTACAATACAAATGTTTTTACAAGCTCAAACCCAGGGCCTCATACACACTAGCTCTCACACTAATCTACATCTCCAGCCGTAATGGCTTGACTTCCTATATATTTATGTAAATATTTTATGTATAAATATATGCCACCCAACTTTTCATTGAATTTTTAGAATGGAAATTCCTTATAATTAACTGAATGCATAAACTAGACTCTAAGCTACTTCTGTGTATGTTCAAGGATGTTTTGATCCACAAAAGAAAGGTGAACAGTAAGAACTAGGTCACTTTATCCTCAGTCTATTTATCAACCAAGGCCACCTTAGTGAATACTAGTATCTAAAACCAGTTTTTGTTTGTGTTGGTTCAAGTGTCATGGAAATCCATAGTGACATTTTGAGAAGTATGATGGATTATGCCTTTTTTTTTAGTGCGGTGCCAGTGATGGAACCCAGGGCCTCTCATATGCTAGACACGCTCCACCACGGAGCCCCGTCAGCACCTGTCACTATGTCTGCCATACTGGATCTAACCAGCGTTGCCTTGAAAAAGAAACAGTCGGAGCGGTGGAGACCCACAGACTCCCCACATTCTCTTTGTGTCTAAAGCAGGCTAAGGGCTGCTTCAGGAAGTTTTACATGGCTTCTTTTGAACTAGGCATTTCCCTCCTGTTGTTAGATCTGTGATCATGGACCCAGGCATGTGTGGAGGAGCAAAATTTTATGTAACCTTTCTTGGCCTCCCAAGCATGCCCGGTAGAGAAGGGGAAAGTGAAGAGTCCATGTTCTCTGAATGCACACCCAGGGTCTGCTGTGATCCTGTCACTCATAGCAGTCCTGAGTGAACAGAACGAGCAACCATCTCATCCTACCCAGCTGCCTCTCTGGGTGCAGCCTGCCTCAGTTTCCCTCTTCCTCCTCCCCAGCCTGGGCTTTCATAACTGATGGCTGTCCATCCTTAAATGTCTCTCAGCTCAGTGTTCGCACTGTGTTCTAGTCCCCCAAGATGCCCTCCATGGCCCCCTACCCCATTCCTCTCCTCACAGCATTCTTCGCTCTGGAAAGTTCTCCCTGCTCCTTTCTATCTGTCCTATTTCAAGGTTTACTTAAATCCCCACCTTTCATGAGCTTTTGATCATTTTCCTGAAGCTCAGTATCTTCCTTTCCTCTTGAATCACTGCAGTGTATTAGTCTCTCATTTTTCTTGCCCTGTGCTGTCTCATAATTATTTATTCAGTGTCTTTTCCTTCAAAGGAGACTATAATATCTTTATGTGGATTTTTATTATTATTATTATTATTACTATTACTATTATTAGTGGAAGGGTGTGGTTTGTTTGCTCTGGGGACAGGCTCTCACTTTGTTGTTTTTTGGTTTTTGGTTTTTTTTTTTAATGCCGAATGCCATTTATTGAAGGAGGGAGGAGGTCTTAAATACAGGCTTACAAAACAATGAGAGAACCCCGGAGGGCAGAAGTTTACTACCGATGTTTTACAATCTTGCATCTAAGCTGTTAACGTCCATTATGCAGGATACACAGACAAGGAACTTCCCTTAAGCATTCAGGAGGGTGAAACCCGGGAGAGAATTAGCATAGGGAGGATATCAAGGTCAAGGTCAGCAAGCAAGGCAACAGTTACCCAAAACAGGGGCCAGGGCCCTGCAAGTCCCCCTTTTACTAATAAATGAGCTTCTGACTTAGGTTGTGTGGGATGGCAGCAGGTCACCTTACCCATCATGGAGACACCTGCCCAGGCCACACAGGCACTCTGTCTTAGGTTGAGTGCCCCCCAGGAATTACCCGTTTCTGAATACTCATTATCATACAGGCTCAATCGTGTGTGAGCTGCAGAGTTAACTGCTGCCAAAGATCTCAAAGTGGCGATGGGCTTGCAATCTGTGTGTTCGACACAGAAAAGACCAACAGAAGTCCTAACCCACCCATAACCAGTAGGTTAAAGGCAACTGAGCCATTCCCTTCCTTAATGAGCCTTACTGCAAATTGGAGTCCTTGTAAGATGGTATCCCAAAAGCAAATAGAACCTGAGTTTATAAATTTATAATTTTCAAAGCCAATCGAGATGTATATAACTATTGAATTAAATTGATCATACCCAATAGAATGAAAGATTAACTGTGGTAGCTACTTTTGCTGCCAGAGTCTCCACTGTGCTAGCTGCAGTAAGCAATTATGAAATGGTAATCCCAGAAACAGTACAGGCTCTCACTTTGTAATTCAGTGTAGTCTGAAGTTTGAGATCTTCCTGTCTAGACCTTAGGTGCTGAGGTTGCAAATGTGCTCTAGCACACCTGCTCAGACAGGACATCGTTCACATTTTACTCCCTGACCCTGTGACCCTGTACCTTATAGCTCAAGGACTGAATAAAAGGAACAAATGAAATAAATGAGTCATGCCTTTAGGCACATACAAGAACCTCTCCAGTTATACCTTGAATTCAGAAACTGTTTGTGATATATTCTTACCAGTCAGTCAAATTAAAAAAAAAAAAACAACAGCATTTCCCTATGGACTTTGCATCTCTTCAATTATGAAAAGATTAAGTTTCCCTTCTCACATCTGTGAAAACATCCATACACCTTTCCTCGAGGTGAATTGCATGTCATACATTTTACATCTAATAGCATAAATATACATCCCCTCATGTATTTAGTCCCAATTCTATAAGTACATATCCATTCTACAGATGAGGAAGTAAGGCTCATTAGGATAAGAGTTACATGTTGAAAACAGTAGGTTCGGGAACTGAACCCAACTGTGTTCTGCCCCCAAGCTTCTCTTTCCTGTAAATTACCATGTTCCCTCTGCTGACTTTGTTCATGTATAGTTATTTCTGAAAACAAAATAATCTGGATCTAGAATAATAGTAGAAGTATTGAAGAGACTAGGAATGTGTCACACGCCTATATTCTAGTACTTGGATACCAGAGGCATCTGATCTACATAGAAAATTCTAGGCCAGCTTGAGCTGGGAAGGCTGGGCTGGGGGAGGGGGAGGTGATTACTGCCACAGAGAGCTCCTCTTTGTACATATTCATTGGGGCTCCACATTAATGCAGTGCTAGTCTGGAACACAGTGGCATCACTTTCTACATTACTGTGTAGTTGTAGCTTTAGAATTGTGTCCTTCCTGTGTTAGATGAGCACTGAACTTGCAGAATACTGTTACTGCCCCCAAGTGACAAGTTGTGGCATAGCAATAGTAAACAATTTAGTCACACCTCTGACCAGAAGCATCAGCTGAATTAAATGTACATAACTTCTTATGCTAAATATTGGTGTGCCTAACTACCATCTCTAATGAACACCATGAGCAACATCTAAATTCTTCTGAATTGTTACAATGATATGCTACATTCGTTCCCAACCTAAAGAATCTGTACGACGGACGGCAAAGTCCTTGAAATAATAAAGTTCAGTGAATCCAGGCATGCTGGCCCATCTCAGCTTAGCAGTGGTAGAACAGATGACAGACACCACGATGTGGTCTACAGTATAATAGCACGAAGCAGTAAGAAATGAAAAGACTCTGGCGACCTAAGAACAATCAAATCCCAGCACAGTGGCAAGTATCTGCAGTCCCCTCTGCTAGGGAGGGTGAGACAGGAGGATGGCTTGAGCCCAGGATCCGTGCCTGCCCGAGAAACATATGTGAACTTGATCTCAAAACACAAAAGACAAGCAAACGTTTAAGAAATAACTAAATATGTACCACGGCATGTTGGTCTGTCCTTATGTATGCATGTTATGTTGAGTCTAATTAATGTTAATAATTAACCAACAGTTAATAAATGTCTTTAGAATACTACTAGTGAGGACTCATGGGCTAATTTCTCCTTTGTTTTGTAGGAATATGTTTATCCAGAAGCCAGAGACAGACAATACTTACTATTTTTCCATAAAGGAGCCAAAAAGTCACGTTTCGACCTAGAGAAATACAATCAACTCAAGGATGCAATTGCTCAGGTAAATTCTAGAAGAATTAAATGGATGCATCCCCATCTTAAACAGCATCATTATTATCCATAATCATGGTCCTTCAAATGGGCAGCCTGAAGGAGGAATCCAGCCACTGTATCCTGGGTAAAGGTGGTTAATCAAACCGTTAGCAATGGACACTTAGCTAGAAGGTTTGTTTTAAGGGGGTTGGTTTCTCATTAGGACTTTTTTCTGTTTGTTTGTTTTAAGGCAGTGTCTTGTGTGACCTGGGCTGTCCTTGAACTCAGTATATAGCAGTTAGGACGACTTGAACTTCTGATCCTCCTGCCTCCACCTTCCAAGTGCTGGGATCGATTATACATCAGGTTTATGAGATGCCTGGGATTGAGATCAGGGCCTCGAGCATGCTAGGCAAGCTCGGCCAGCTGACCTGCATCTCCAGCTGTTGCTGTGGTTGTTGTTGTTGTTTATGAGACATGTCTGGGTATGTGCCTTAGGCTGGCCTCTAACTCTGGTGATCCTCCTAGCTCAGTCTCTTGGGTACTGGTACTGGGTTGACACCAGTGTGCCACCACATCACCTCTAGTTTTCATACTTGAGTGGATGAAAAGATGACAAGGCCTAGCTATCCTGTTGACACCAACACTGACATTTTTAGAGCTATTTTTTTTTTCATTTTCAATTCTTCAGAATTGCCTGCTTTTCAATTAGAGTCATCTGGGTGTTTTTTATTTGCTTGTTTGTTTGGTGAGTTTTGTTTTCTCTTAATCGCTCTACAATAATTGATCCAAAGACTTCCCAACTAAATTGGACGGCAGCAACAGCACCAAAGTGAAAACCCCACAGCAAGTACCCTGGAGGTTGTTCTAGAAGATGCCTTTTAAAGCCGAGCGTATTTTCCAAGAAGCTGCACCTCTTTCAAATTCCTGCACTTCCTTCGATTTTGGCGAATAAATCCCTGTTTGTTTTCTCCATAGTCTAGTGATTTCAGAGGTTTTCAACAGTCCCCAAAAGGTCTTCCTTCCTCTGTAGTGCTTAGCTACCTGGTGTGTGTGTGTGCGTGTGTGTGTGTGTGTGTGTGTGTGTGTGTGTGTGTGTGTGTGTGTATGTGTGTGTGTGTGTGTGTGTGTGTTGATGAGGTTGTGTGTATTGATGAAGTTGTATGTGTTGATGAGGTTGTGTGTGTTGATGAAGTTGTGTGTGTTGATGAGGTTGTGTGTGTTGATAAGGTTGTGCTGTTAATAGGCGTAATCCACCTTCCCACCTTGGCCTAAGCACACGTTGCCTTCTGGTGCTGTATGTGGTCATTCTAAGCCAAGGGTAGTACTGGTCAGTCGTCTCTGGAGCCAATATAAATATAGGTGCATCAGCCCCGCCCACAGCTAATTAATACAATCCTTAAGGATGAGACCCAAGCATGAGACGCTTCAAAGAGGCTTCAATTGACTGCACATCCTTTTAACACTGCTCTAGCTGGTGTGAAGACTCATGCCTATCATCCTAGCACTGAAAGGTGGAGGTAGGAAGGCTGCTCTGAGTTTAAGGCTAACCTAGGCTACAAAGTGAGATGATCTCAAAAATCAACAAAGTTGAGCAAAGCATGGTGGCACACGCTTTTAGTCCTTGCACTCCAGAGGTAGAGGCAGGCTGAGCTCTTGAGTTCAAGGATGGCCTGGTCTACACAGTGAGTTCCAGGGCAGTCGGAGTTACATAGAAAGACCTATCACACACACACACAAATTATTGACTGAGTAAATACTTAAATAGATATTGAATGAACAAAGTCTTAAGACTTTTTAAGACTTTGGTTCCTCTTAAAGGTTTATGCAGGAATGCTATCACAGATGTCCGATACGGTCCCTGCATTCTTAGGCTGGGGTCTTTATACCACCTGGCCATTCTGCTTTTCTGGGAGGAACTGCCTTGGGCTACAGACATTTGTCTTCTGATTTTCAGAGTCAGAAGGATGTCTGAGAGGATGTCTTCCGACTACAGTAATGAAGGCAGGGCTGTTCCCTCTCTCAGGAGGCAGCAATGTTGCTCACAGCTTCACCGGCCACCCTTCCTCACCTGTTGTCTCTATTTTAGGCAGAAATGGACCTTAAGAGACTGAGAGACCCGTTACAAGTACATCTGCCCCTCCGACAGATCGGAGAAAAGGATTGATCTGCGCAGAGCGTGAATCCCGGCAGAGAGAGCACCTGTTTATAACTCATGCCTTTTTAATTGAAGCATTGCAGGTGGAAGGGGGGGCCTCGTGGGGGAGAGGGTTTTTACCTTTAATTCTAAAACAGAACACAAAAGGGATCTTAGGAAAGAAAGGGATGTTCAATTCTGAGGATCAGGCATCATGGAGTACCAGTGCAAAGGGTGTAGTGAATCTTGTCTTAAATGTCTCCATTTCCAAATGGGAACAGCGCAGTCACAGCTGAGAGGACAAGCAAGGGTGATGTTGGGGTGTTCATCTCTTACATCTTTGCAAGGTCTGCAAAACACTAACACACCAGCACCCCACTCAGCTCTAGTCTGGTTTTTTTGATTTTTTTTTATTTAAAGTTTCTTATTTTTGACATAGGAATAAATAACTATATAAGAAAGCAAATCCTTATGAATCGTGGTTGGCAGAGTCTGAGCTGGTGAGATTAGCCTTCATCTTAAGCTAGACCCAGTCTCTGCAAAGTTACCAGGAATCTCTCCGTCCTGGATCCCTTTTCTGACCAGCTACCTACTTATGTAGGTTACACTACTTTTATCCAAATAATCATTGGAATCAACTTATGACTGTTTGATGATTAACAGTTGAATTATCTCTTCATGAGTTCTCATGTCTATCTCCCAGGACTCTGAATCGGTGTCTAGAAATCACTGGCAATATTGCATGAGGTTTTAGTTGTATTTTGCTTTGTTTTTTTACTAATTAGTCTTCAGAGGAGGAAAAGATCCTCTCCTTTATATGCCAATCCCATTGATAACCCCCACCCTCCACATCACAGGTCAGAGGGCCAGTGTTCATCTGTGTTACCAAACAAGGAGGATGGACGGTCTACAAATCAGCTAAAAAAATCGTGGCTCTGTGGCTGATTCAGACCTGGGATGCCCTTGGTTAATCTAAGACACACACTTCCTCACCATTGTGAGCCCTCCCAGCTCTACCACTCCAGTCGCTGTAGATCAAGGGTGGATCTCAAAGGGTGCGATTATCTTTATACAAGAATACCTTCCTATGGCTTCCTTTAGCCTACCTTCTCCACCCTCTTTCTTTTTATCTTAAATTGAGAGACAGAAGAATTAATCTTATACTCTATGAGAACGTTTTCTACTAATATTTCCAGATGGCACCTGCACTCGAAAAGTCAAAGGAATCTCTGTCTACTGTCTTTGTTTTTAACTGTTCCGGAGGCAGGATGGCAAGAACGAAGCGGGCTTGCCGCACAGCTGATTGGCTTTTGGCTTTTTTTATCCACGTGATTCATCCCTCCTCGCGGGGCAAGGGGTTTCCTTTTCCTCCTCCTTTTGGGATCATTGTGTATGAAAGCAAACCTTCAGATGACAAACCCAGACTCCAGGTGCCTTGCAGAGGTCGAAGGCCAGCCGGGACAGCCGCTTCCGCCACCACCCTTCACTGGCATGACAGAGTGAAAGGGTGCATGTCTCAGTCCCCAGCCTCCTACTTCCTTCCTGTTGTCCAACCTCTCCCCGTTTCTTTCTGTTGTGTGGAGTGTTTTTAAACCACCCATCCTGTTGGTGTGCAGGGTTCTTACGAAGGAAAGGCACAGTGCAATGAGTGAATCCTCTGGGTGGTGTGGGAGGCAGGGGGGGGGGGCGAGCAAAATGTCGAACACGTGTACAATCCTGTATCATTTATGAAATATGTATAAAAAGCAATGTACCTTCTGGAACAATAAATACTTATTCAATTTTTGAATCATAGCATCTCGTTCTTTAAAACAAAATCAGAAAGAAACTGACTTGCCTGTGATTGCAGCTGGGAAGATTTTTCTGTCTAAAGTTGTATTATATATAGGCTGGGTGTGGTGGCACACACATTTAATTCCAGCATTCACTCAGGAGGCAGAGGCAGGTGGATCTCTATGAGTTCTAGATCAGCAGGTTCCAGACCAGCCAAAGCTACAGAATAAAACTCTGTCTCCAAAAAATAAATAAATAAATAAATAAATAAATAAAAGTAGATTTTATAAAAAGTAGCAGCATCAAATTAAGCTTTCTTCCTAAACCTGTATGTCATTAATTCTTCCCTAACGTAAATGGACATTGTATTCCCAATTTTCCAGAACCACCAAGATGTCAAGTCATTTCTATAGTCAGTATAAAGCAGCATTGAAACTGATATCCTCACCTTTTGATAACAGGGAGGGGAAAAATCACTTGTATATCATTCTACCTTGATTACATAGAAAGCTGTTCAAAAATAAATCAAATTAAATAGCTATTATTTTCAGAAATTGAATCAAATTTATGATTGCTAACTCAATAGGAAATTATCATGGGGGAACCACCATTGTCAAAGGTACATCAAAAGCACAAACAAAACAACATGGTATCTGTTTGCTCTGTGAAGACTGAGGTCAGAGAGCCTGCAGAGTGATGGTCCATCTCCCTGCAGCTTACAGAGTCCCACTAGACACAGCTGAGGTAAGTGAATCATAAAGGAAGGGTGAAAATGTGGGCCACTGTGTGCAACATTCTGTTCTACTTTGCTTGGGGGGATTTGAGACAGATGAAGAGCAAATTATGGTTGGGCTTCTCCTTGGGAAGTAGGCAAGTAGTCATTCTTTCTGAAATGCCTGTAATATCTGTAAGATGTGGGTGTAATATCTGCCTTCGTGGGGTTTGCATGGGAAATGAGTGAGATAATGTATGAGCTCTACTACACGGTGTTTTGTGAATTATCCAGTAAGAGGTAGATATTAGTTGACAGCAACCAACAGAATAACTATGATTCAGCAATCCTACTTCTAGGTACGTGTCAGAAAGAATTTGAGGCTTCAAACAGTGACAGAGTTATTCAGCTTGGCCAAAGAGTGGAAGAAATGCAAGTGCACATCAGCACACTACTATTTATTCGGAGTGGCAGCCAAGGTTCCAGAAACAGAAGGATGGATGTGACCTGTAAATACGATGGATATGGGATGCTACTCAGCCACAAAAGATGAAAATTCTGACATGCTATAACATGGATAAACTTTGATGATAATATGATAAATAAAAAATCATTAAAGAAAAAAACCCTTCATGATTCTACTTGTGTGAACCATCTAATCAAATTCACAGAAATAGAAGTGATACTTTTCGGGGAGATTGGAGAATGAGGAGTTATTGTTTAAGAGGCATTAAAGCATTTTCATCTGGGAAGATGAAGTTCTGGAGATAGGCGATAGAGATGACTGCACAGGAGAATAAACTTAGGGCCCCCAAACTAAACACTTAATAACTGTTCTGGTGGCAGCTTTATGTTAGGAATAGTTTGCTATGTTATAAAGTTGTGAATTCCCGATAGAGCCAGAGTGTGGTTGACATTGATCTGTCATTGAGTGGGGCAATGCAGTTGGCTGAGGGAACTTGAGCTTTTGGAGCTGAGACTAACAGAGGGTCCTCAGAGATGATCTTCACCTCACGGAAACTGCTAGAAGTGCAAGTTCTCAGACCTCTGTGCAGCTGGCAGTCAGTGTCCAACAAGCACAGCTGATGATTCTGTTGAGACTGTCAACCAGATGAACCATAGCTCTGGAGAAAGGACATGAAGAGACGGTGGCTCAGTCACACGTGTGCTGTGACTCCAGTGAGTCCCAAAGTCCAACAGTGGAACAGCTGAAGGATGGGTGAGTATGTAACTGTGAGCAGCCTGGGGCCAGTGTGAAATCCTGTGGCCAGTGAAAAATCCTGTGGCCAGGATGTGGCGCTCAGCATGCAGATGGATGCTTTCAAATACAGGTATAAAGATGCTGGATTTCAAATCTACCTAGGATTTCACAGAAAAGGGAAACTGTTTAGGTTTTGAGACTCACTTTCACTCCAACTCCACCCATTTTTTTATTAGTTAGATGAGTTGATGGACAATTTCACACATGTGCACAATGTCTCCTGACCACTTCCCCCAACCCTCTCCCATTCTCCCTGCTGCAACTGTTTTTCTTTTTCTTTTTTCCTGGATCTCACTCTGTAGACCAGGCTGGCCTCGAACTCACAAAGATCCGCCTGCCTCTGCCTCCCGAGTGCTGGGATTAAAGGCGTGTGCCACCACCGCTTGGCCACAACTGTTTTTCTTAATTCATGTCTATACATTTATTTTGTAACGCACTGAATAGTTTAACCAGGGGCCATCTGTGTGACCATGGAGCCACCCATCAGAGCTTGGTGGACTCAGCAGTATGTATACTGTTGAAGACAGTGGCTGCCCCTTTCCCAGAATCTATCAATAGCCAATAGTTGAGCAGCAAGTAATAGCATGTCATGAGCCCCTCCCCCACCTGTGACATTGTTGACAGGGCCAGTCTTGCGCAGGTCAGTACAGGTAACCAGGGTGGTTAGTTCACGATTGGAATTGTTGTGTCAAATCTAGATGGCATTTCGAAGCCTCTAAACCCATCTTCTGGCTCTTATACACCTCCTGCCCCTCTTCTTCAATGTTCCCTGACCTTTACAGGGGAATGATATATAAATGCCATTGATTTTTTGCAGTATCACCAATCTTTACTTCTTTCTTCTCCCAAATGATTCATACACAGTGTCTTCCATAAAGCACCTTTTGGGTTATTTCCTTGAGATCACACACTGAATGTAAAGTTGCCTGCTTTATAAATTCACATTTGCGTATCATTGGCACATGCTTTATAAGTGTGGCTAAACACGCTAAACAGGGCCATCTCCTTCAACGTTCTCGGCTCCTGTGACTCAGCTCTTGGATTTCCCTCCTCACGTCCCCAATTTCTTGGCCTTTGCAGAGTCTCCTTCCTGCAACCACATATTTCATGCTAACTTCCCACCATGCTCCATCCTGGGGTATTCTTCCATGGGGCAATCTCACCCATCACCCCAGCTCAGGTACCATTATGTGTTGAAAACTGTCCCCATGCTCTGTGTCTCAGAACAGCAAACTGGTTTACTTCTTCTTGGCTGAGGTGTGGTAATTCCATGTCAATAGGGAATTTGGGGGTTTAAATCCTAATAACATTAACTATGGGAGTGGGGGGCTAAAAGATACAATAAAGAAGCAATCAAATCTGAAATATGGGATATTCTATAATCTGATGGTTAGATGACTGGGCATTTTCAGCAAATAGCAAAGAGGAAGAAGGAAGGACAATGTAAGAAAATTTAAGTGACACAGCAAAATGCAGTCAATAGTAAAACTCTTGTTGAATCCTGATTCAAACTAGCAATAAAAATGAATATTTGAAACTATTAGGAAAGTTAAACATAGACAGGGCATCAGATACAGAAGAATTATTACTACTTTTCATAGCTGTAATCACAACCTCATTGTTACATAAATAAGGAGGACCACATCTTAGGAATACATAGTAGAATATGAGCAAAATAAAATTAATAAAACATTAGTGAGCTTTGCAGCTGGGTATTCGGCATTGTCTTCTGACTTTTGTATATATTTAAAATTTTTAATCATTTTTTAAGGCAGGCTAACTAAAAGGGAATAAAAAGAGAAACATAAGGGTGTGTGTGTGTGTGTGTGTGTGTGAGAGAGAGAGAGAGAAAGAGAGAGAGAGAGAGAGAGAGAATCCTGCTGCCCCAGGAATTCTTGTTTATAGAACCAAAGGGCTATCCGGTGAAAGTCCTTGACTCCAGCAATCAGTCTTGGCAACAAACCTGGCTTTATCTTATGTACACGTCCTTTGTTTTTTTGAAACACACATGAAGCTCTCAAATGGCTTCTCAGGGACAGGAAACAGTGAGACTTGTTTTTTTTTCTGTTAAAAGCATTGCCCTGCCATGAGAGTCCCACGGCCATCCATCACTGCCATTAAACCACAGCTTAAGAAGCCAGCGGTCAAATTGCCTGAGTCCTAACGGTGAGAAAGTAACTAAAACTGCATGTTGAGATCCACGCAACTCCTTGTTTACCTGTAACTCCTGCAGGGACCACTTTTATTTACTATCACAATCTAGTACTTAGTACCCCCCAGCCCTTAGTAAGCCCTAATAGTTTCTTGAAATGATGCCCTTAGAAGAAAGGAGCCACAATAATTTGGAAAAAGTAAGATTAACCCAAAGCTTCTGACTTTGGGGCTTTAGAAGTTGGATTGAGAAAGAAAATTTATTTCCCTCAGATCTGTTTAAAATCGTTCTTTTTAAAAATTTATTTATTTTGCATCCTGACTGCAGCACCGCCCCCCTCCTCACTCCCACTCCTCAGCCCTCCTTTCCTCTGTCCCTTCCCCAATCCTCTATTTACTTAGAAAGGGGCAGACCTCTCCTGGGCATCAGCAAAGCATGGCATATCAATCTGCCATTAGACCAAGTGCCTCCCCCTGTATTCAGGCTGGGCAAGGCAATCCAGCACAAGGAATAGGTTCCCAAGAGCCAGCCAAAGCACCAGGGACAGCCCCTGCTCCTGTTGCCAGGAGTCCCACAAATAGACCAAGCTACACAACTGTCACGTGTTTGTAGAGGGCCTAGGTCAGTCCCATGAAGGCTCCCTGGTTGTTGGTTCAGACTCTGTGAGTTCCCATGAGCCAGGCTAGCCATTTCTGTGGGTTTTCCTGTGATGTTCCTGAACCCCTGGCTCCTACAATCCCTCCTCCTTCTCCTTCTCCTTCTCCTTAGCAGGACTCCCCGAAGTCAGCCCAATGTTTGACCATGAGTCTCTGAATCTGCCTCTATCAGTCACTAGATGAAGGCTCTCTTTTGACAACTTCTGGCCCACCCCTCTGATGCTCCTCTTTGCCCTGCCTTTCATTGGACTTGCTGCTCTCGGTGCCCACAGCCTAGACTACCAGGGACCTTCAAGCCTCCACATCTACAGTTTCTGCAACCAGGCCTGGTGATGTGTAGTGTGTGTGTCCTCATAGTTTTCCTCTTTGGTCAAAAGTAAAACTAGCTGGGTGGTGGTGGCACACACCTTTAATCCAAGCAGTCGGGAGGCAGAGGGGGGGAAAAGTAAAGCTCTAGGCAAGTTTGAACTTTCCAGGATTTTGTTAATTTAATGGTAGTTCCTAATTTTAAGTCCCTGCCCCAATTTTCGTGTGAGAATTGGTGAAACCAGTAACCTCTAACGGCTCTGCTATGTGGGGAAGAAATGCATCATGGCACCCCTGCTGGGCTTGGTAATGCCTGAGTGAAGGTTTGTCTATTTAGGAAACTTTGAGACCGGAGACCAGAAGAAGACCAAACCAAAAGTTCTTGGCGAGAACACCGGCCCCTCTCAGGCCCCTTGAGACCTGGTGTGTGATCTTGTCAGCTCCTGGACCACCAGACTGTGACAGTTCCCCAATAACCCGTCCGACTACGGGGCTTATCCCATCCTCACTGAAGGAGATTGCGCAATGCCGTGGTGACAGCATCAGGAAGCCAAGTTCCTAGAAGTCACAAAACAAGATTTTGACATGAGGGGATGTCCCTCCGTAAGAGTTCCCTTCTGGATAAGATACCGAAGGCTCCGTGACAGGGAATTCTTCAGGGAAAAAACAATTGGAGGATGAGGGATGACGAGGGTCCCCACCCCCACCCCTAAAGAAATCTATCAGTGCAGTAGCACTGTTGACGGTGAAAGCAGGCCTCTATCTGGAGTCAAGGCCAGAGCAGCAGACTCCTTGTCCCGCTCACCGCTCACCGGCCTCTGCTGCCCCGTAAGGTCCTAGCCAACGCTGATGCGGATTTTCTTCCTAAGAGCCCAGAGGGACTTTTTTTCCCTAAGTGCTTGAAAAAAAAGAACCAAGAAAAAGTAGCGTTAAGAGGATTTTCCGTTCTGTTCCTGGCAGCTGGCTCAGAAAGATGCCCCTGTTCCTACTGCTCACCTGCCTCCTCACCACCATCACCCCAGTGTCGCCCATAGGTGAGTCTGTGTCAAGAATTGGATACAATATACCTTTTTTGTGTTGCTGTTTGCTGTTGTATACTGAATGGTAGGAACTAGATGAGGAGGCCTAAAATACTGGCCTTACGGTTGTGTAAAAAAGTCCTCAACCTACAAGGATATGTGCCGTGAGAATTTTTGCTGCATGTTACTTTACCCCCCTGCCTGAGTGTCCAGAAACTCCACAGCTCTTTTGTCTCTAAACCTTCCCATGAGTTAAATAGTGCTTGGAGTATGTGTGAAAAGGAATTCTAATCTCTTTCTGGTGTAAGCACTTTAGGCTTTCAGCTTTAAGAATGGAAATGATTTTTTTCTTTTAGAGATGAGGGTAGGGCCTTTTCCTTAATGAATAAAAGGGACCGAACGTTCTGTCCCTGGAAAGGGTAAAGATCTGGATAAAATGTTTATTAAGTTTGACCTTTAAAAATATGAGTGACTATTTGCACAGACCAAGCAATTCTTAAGCTGTTTCTCTCAGGCTTGGCAGAAAACTGGCCAACGAGGATCCTTCTGGGCACGTCTGAGTAGCTCAGTATGTGACTGGGCTGGATTTGTCTCTCTGAGGTAACTTGGGCACCTTTAAGTATATACATTAAAAACAGGTTTGGGCCCTGAGGAGATATGAAAGCTACATGTAAGGCAATGTTCTGTACGGGATCCTGGGACAGGCAATGATGTAGATAAAAAGCAAGACAAGGTGAATGACTCTAGGCTTGAGTTAATACTATACCAACAGTGCCTCACTGACTGGAACACAAGAAAGGAGAGGAGAGCTGGGCGGTGGTGGCGCACGCCTTTAATCCCAGCACTCGGGTGGCAGAGCCAGGTGGACCTCTGTGAGTTCGAGGCCAGTCTGGTCTACAGAGTGAGATCCAGGACAGGCACCAAAACTATACAGAGAATCCCTGTCTCGAAAAAAACAAGAAAAAGAAAAGGAAGGAAGGAAGGAAGGGAGGAAGGAAGGAAGGAAGGAAGGAAGGAAGGAAGGAAGGAAGGAAGGAAGGAAGGAAGGAGGGGAGGTAGGATGTAAGAAGCAAGGGGTGGGGAGCTCCCAGACACAGCAAAGGTCCGGGGCTGCAGAGACTATGATCTGGACAGTTGTAGGCCTCACTGGTATACCAGCCTCCAGGATGATAAAGATGGGGACACAGATATGTCTGCTCACGTCCCGTGGTTGGTCCTTGTACAGGAGCCAAGATGCTCCCGAGTGTCCTGGTGAGCCACCGAATCTTCTAGCAGGTAGGGGGACTTTGAGGGGAACACCCGGAGCTGTTCTCTTTCAAGCCCTGAGGTTAAGGGTTGCATGAGCTAATGAGGATCCATGCGTAGAACACCACATTCTTGGCTCCACACTGAGACTAAAAACGGGATTTTACACAGAATGACCATTTGAAAAGAGTGTGGAAGCCTTTACTGTTAGAACATATCCAGTGACTGTGTTCGTGGGACGTTCTATGTGGGATTGCGCAGCCGATGGCGGGTCAGTTTCTCTTCTTCATGCCGCCATTCCTCTACCACGGGAAGGCAACTGAACTCTTCAACAGTGTAAGAAACGACCTTTAACTTGAAGGAAAACTTTAGAAATCATGGAATAGTCATAACAGGAGCTGCTGTGGATACCATTAAAGGCTGAGCGGCTAAGCATTTCTTGTAAAATTAGAGCCAAGCAGATGAGTGAGTGGGATGTCTCTATGGATTTACAATCACCTGTGGAATTGCTCTGGAAGCCTTGCTTGGCCAGAGAGCCACTGCCAGCGGGGCAGAGGAGGAGATTTTTCCCTTGGAGAGGTGAGGGAATTTGGGGACACTTCCTCCTCTTTGGAGAACACTGAATTGCCAGCTAGCACTCAGCCAGGACAGCTTAAGGACGTTTTAAAGACTTTGGGAGGAACCACAGAACTTGAAGAGAAGGTTGCTTGTACCGCCTACAGCTCTGCGAATGTCGTTTCCAGAAAGTGCAATGTCCTAATCACTTCTTTCTCCAGACTGCCCAGTTATTTCCTGCATCCACTTGCCAGGCTGCTGTGTATTGAAAGCAGCCGGCTGGAGCCTGGGTCCTTTTCCCTTTCCATGGAATGAGCTCTCCACATTCTTTATTCGGTCAGACTTCACACGGACGCAAGATGCTGACTGTCGTTTTCGCAAAAGTCATTCAGGGCCTCCCTCCTTTCTTTTCTTTTTTAATTTCCAAAAACGGGGAGCTAACTGCATCATAGCACAGTCTCCCCCATGACTGGATAGCTCAACTGCAATATGCTTTTCCGTAATCATCTGTCCTTATCTTTATATCAAAATACCTGACTCCTCTTACACTTGATCCACTTGGTATATTGATTTATTGTCTCATTCTTTTGTTCATTCAGTCTGGTGCTGGTTGGAATGCAGGGCCCCTTGCACACCAAGCTCAGGCTGGAACACTACCAGGCATGGCACAGACTTTTAATCCCAGCACTAAGGAGACAGAGACGGGGATTCCTGGGGGTCACTCACCGGACAGCCTAGCCTAATGAATGGGCCCCAGGCCAGACAGAGACCCTGTCTAACGAGAACAGAGTGAATGGCTCCTAAGGAAGGATGCCTGAGATTGACATCTAGCTACACACACGCACATACACAACACACACACACACACACAACACACATACACACCACACATACACATGACACACCCACTTTTTTGTTTGAAAAATCAAAATGTAAGACCGAGGTGGATGTAGCTGTTGGCCTTGTGACCTGAAACGCCACCAGGTGTCTCTGAGACCCCTCTCACTCCCAGCCCTAGATCCTTGCTCTGCTTATGTCAGCCTGAATGAGCCCTGGAGGAACACTGACCACCGGTTCGACGAGTCTCAAAGCCAACCCCTTTGCGACAACCATATGGATGGGGAGTGGTATCGCTTCACAGGTATGGCCGGAGATGCCATGCCCACCTTCTGCATACCAGAAAATCACTGTGGGACCCACGCCCCTGTCTGGCTCAATGGCAGCCACCCGCTGGAAAGCGATGGCATTGTGCAACGCCAGGCCTGTGCCAGCTTCAAAGGGAACTGCTGTCTGTGGAACACCACGGTGGAGGTCAAGGCCTGCCCTGGAGGCTACTACGTGTATCGGCTGGCCAAGCCCAGCGTCTGCTTCCACGTCTACTGTGGTCGTAAGTTCCTTCTGGTGCTCTCTTCCTTCCCCAGCAAGGCCACAGATGGAGTGAAAGAGAAAAGCACCATTCGAATCCAAGTTATTGTGACCTAGCTTTATATTGTGTTTGTTCATTCAAACATTATAGAATTAGAAGTGATAGATTTCCAAGAGCCCTCTGTAACCTACCTGTTGACCCATAATCAATAGGTGGACAGACAGATGCCCAGACAGCCACATGCTGCTCACAGTCATTGCTTTTCAGAAATGATAGACAATGGGAAGAGGCAATGAGACATCAATTAAGCTTATTTCTTAAATACCTTTAAGCTTATTTCTCTATCGCTAATGCCATCAAAATCCAGGGACTTTGTAAACATCCTTGATGGCAGAGCTCAAACCCAGGGCCTCACAGAAGCTGGTATCCGCAGCTCCTGTGTACACTTTGGAGATTCCACAGTGGAGCATGACCTCCCCCTTAGTCCCTAGCTCATAGGCAGTGATGTTTCTAATTTGCTGAAGTCCTCGGGCCACCAGTGGGCCACTCCCACTCTGTAGCTGGGAGTTGGTTATCTGAAAGGCCCAAAGCTGCCCCCTGAACAGCTGATCTCTCCCCACTGGGTGATGTAGCCCTGAACCATGAGAAGTGTCAGGATAGTGTTCTGGGAATTTGGAGCCCGTGGCTGAAGAGGAGACTTCAGGAGACTACTCAAAAGAGAGGGCCCCCTGAGTCTCCCTACTCACAGAAGGAAATCGTTGTTCTTTCATAGATTTTTATGACATCTGTGACGAGGACTGCCATGACAGCTGCTTGGACACCACCGAGTGCGCATGCGCTCCGGGAACCTCGCTGGGCCCAGATGGACAGACATGCTTTGGTAAGAACTACTCACCAGGTGGAAATGAGCCCTCAGGAATGAAGAGACCATTCAGGGCCCTGCTGCCAGCCCAGTTAGTCTCTGAGCATTTGCAATTGAGCTTGTCATTATTGGTCACAATTGAAATGAGTTACAAGCTCGTGCTACGATCAGGAGCAGTCTGCAACCATACTGTGGCTCTAGTGGCCGCTGGTTCCTTATGGTTATGGGGATATTGAAAAGTGGCCAGTGTGGCCATACTTTCAGGAGGGGAGGCTAAAATCTTCTTAGACTATGGATTAGCCTATAGAAAAGTGTCTGTCGTAAATCAAACAGTGAAGGGGGAGATGAATAGGAATCTCACTTACACAACTTAAGCAAAACATAGCTCTCTGAACAGATTAAAAAAAAAGGAGAGAGAGAGAGAAAGAGAGAGAGAGAGCAAAAGAAAAGAGTAGCCCACATGCCTGAGGATCTGAATCTTAATTTTACCACATTTTAATATAAAAACTGACTTTTGATTCAGCCATTGGCAAACAAAAAATGCCCGGGATAACTCAAATGACTAAATTTTGTCTGTTTTTATCAACTGTAAGTACAGATTAAATGTTTCTGCTGAAAATTGGCATCCATTAAGGTGTGGTGCATTCCTGTAACTCTAGCGCTGAGGAGGCTGAGGCAGGAAAATGGTGAGTTCAAGACCACCCTGAGCTACATAGACAAGACTGTCTCAAAAAAAAAAAAATGGAAGATTTGATATTCAAATTGAAATGTGTTATAATGTCATTTCAAAGTAGGTTCCAAAAACATGTATTATTTTCTTAAGCATATTTCCTTTAGGTAAATATAAAAATGCAAATATTGGTTTTTCAAGACAGGCTTTCTTCGTGTAGCCTTAGCTGTCCCGGAACTCAGTCTGTAGACCAGGCTGGCCTTGAACTCAGAGATCTACCTGCCTCTGCCTCCCAAGTTCTGGGATTAAAGGTATGTGCTACCACTGCCCAGCAATGCAAATATACTTTTATTTATTGGCTTTTTCTTTTTGCAATAAAGATGGCATGCCATCACACCTATCTCTTCCTGACACTGTTTATGGCTTGGACATCTTTGCCTATTAAAAGCCCCAAGTTCCTACTAAGTGCCAAGGGCTTCAGCAAGATGACGGTAGACAGACTTCTGTGTTTATGTACACAGGTCAATTTTAGTTTATATTTAGTTTTTGTGTAAATGAAACAGTTTTAAATTTTTGTTCCACTCATTTGCTGTGTATATACGTAGGTCACGGACAACTCTCCAGATATGGGTCTCCCTTTCCATCAAGCTGGTCCCAGGATCAAACTTAGGTGGTCAGGGTTGGCAGCAAGCACTTTTACTGAGCTAGCCCAACAGTTTTAATTATTTCTTTAATTAGTTTTTTTCAGGCAGAAGGGAGAGAGTAAGAAAATCACAAAGCAGATACACATGTACCCAGATGTAACTATAGTTAAAATTTGTTTCCATTCTTTTTTTTTTTTTTTGGTTTTTGGAGACAGGGTTTCTCTGTGTAGCTTTGCACCTTTCCTGGAACTCACTTGGTAGTCCAGGCTGGCCTCGAACTCACAGAGATCCGCCTGGCTCTGCCTCCCGAGTGCTGGGATTAAAGGCGTGCGCCACCACCGCCCAGCTCCATTCTTTTAAAATAAAAATAGAGGGCTGGAGAGATGGCTCAGAGGTTAAGAGCACTGACTGTTCCTCCAGAGGTCTTGAGTTCAATTCCTAGCAACCACATGGTGGCTCACAACCATATGTAATGGGATCTGGTGCCCTCTTCTGGCCTGCAGACACACATGCAGACAGAACATTGTATACATAATAAATAAATAAATCTTTTTTTAAAAAAATGAAAATAGAATTTTGATGTTCAAACCAAGCCATCTTGCTGGACTGCACCATCCTCTGCCATCCCCTGGGGTTGGCTGCATGCTCGAATGTCAGCCTGTTTCCTTCCCACCCCATCTCTATGTTTTATTATTGCTGTGTGGATGCACCCCACTGTACCATACAGAATTATTCCATCTGTACTGAAAATTAACGTACAAACGACACCTCACTCCATAGGCAACGTTTTCTCTAGGGTGTCAACATACAGATGGAATTGCTAGAGGTCAAGATTCCTACACTGGCTAAAAATAGCAGCCCTGTGTAACGGTAGCCTAAATAAGTAGAAGTTCATTTCTTCCTCACATTAAAAAATAAAAATCAAAAGAAGAAGCAGTCTCAAGGGTAAGGAGGCCAGGAGGAAGCCTTAGCATGGGTGTGGCCACACCTGCTGCCCGGGAGCTGCTGGCCTCCCGGCCTCCCTGGTGCAGGTAGTGGAGTGGAGATCAGGGCCCAGTTACAATCATGCTCTAGACAGGCCTGGTGGCACACAGCTGGAATCCCAGCCTTGGAATGTGGAAAAGGGAAGATCAGGAATTCAAGGCCAGCCTCTTCTGCATAGTGCATTCTGGACCATCCTGGGCTACATGCAATTCCCATCTTGTCTACTGTCGTTTTTACTTCTGCCAGCTATACATGTTGGCTTCTTTTCAGTTGTGATTTATTTGGTTCCTTTTATTTCTTTCATTTTTTTTTTCTAGTTTAAAAAAATTCTTGTATGGTTTTCTGGATTGTTCTTTTATTACCAGTTCAAAGCCTCCATCCATGCTTCAACCTTGCAGTCCACAGGCCCAGTGGTTCCATCCTATGAATGTGTATCTCTCTCTCTTTGGGCCTCCAGCAGGGAGCCTCCTAAATTGCTGTTGTATTTTCAAGGGAATCCGTGGCTGATATGTAGAACTGAATTGTATTGCAAAATAAAATAAAATAAAAAATAAAAAAAAACCAGCGGGAAGGAGTCACACCATACAACAGGGCCCACGTAGGAGGTCTATCGAGAGGAGGGGAGAGAAGAGTCAGAGAAGGGGGCAGAGACCGGTCCCTGGGTTCAAGGAAGAGGAAGAGAGAGAGAGAGACAGAGAGAGAGACAGAGAGAGAGACAGAGAGAGAGCCAGGAGGTGTATAAGGCACGTACAGGAAACCTAGCAAATGCGCACAGGAGTTACTTTTAGTGTCTGCAGCTGAGGTACATCCTGTCAGGGCACTGGGGGCAGGCCAGTACAGACGCCTAAATGCTGACAACGGCTACTTGCAGCAGAGTTCTACTCTCAGTTTTATTGAAATGTGTATTAGTTCTTGTTAACTATAATGAAATTGCTGACACTCAGTAGGTTACAAAGAAAAAGAAGCTTAGTTCACAATTCAAGGAGGGTCAATGGTATGTTGTCAACATTGGCTCAGCTCCAGGGAAGGCCTGGTGGGAGGTGATATACCAGGAATACAAGCAAAGACAGGAAGGCGGCGAGAACAGGGATCCCACAAGAACCACATTGGTCACCTCCAATGGCAGTGTTCCCGACTACTCCACTACGCCTTGCCTCTCAAAGGCCTGCCCACCACTTCATCACATCACACTGGAGGCCAAACTTCCAATACGTGAACCTTAGGGCTTGCTTAAATCATACCCAAACCCTAAGAGGGAGGGACCTATTCCAGGGCTCTGGGTGTTAAGTGGAGCTCCGCCCAGCTCATCTCCTTCCTGAGTCCAAAACCGTGTTCTGATACACTGTGAGCATTTTAGCTCCAGCCCTTGACTCACATCCTGAATCCAGGTTCCTTCCAAGGAAATAAGACATACTTTACTCTCAGCTTCCTTTTCTCTGTAGGAGAGAGATGACATTTATTGTCCATTTTTATGTTTTTTACAACAAGAATCCGTACATAGTTAATCAGATGTTTTATAGAATGAAACCATTTCTTAAATATAATGTGAAAATATTTCAAAAGAAATTTTTTTTGAGACAGGGTATCACTATGTAGCCCTGGTTGTTGTGGAGCTCACTATGTAGACAAATCTGGCCTCCAACTCACAGAAATCCACCTGTTTGTGCCTCTCAAGTGCTGGGATTAACGGTATGTGCCACCACCACACCCAGCTGAGACGATTTCAATTTTTAAAGTCGGTGTTTGAGGGTGGTTTGTCATGCAGAACAGAAGAGACTGTCTCTCACACTATTTTGCTAGATGTTTCCTTCTGCACTGTAAGCTCCTTTATATTTAAAACAAAATATAATTTATAACCTTGCATTTAACAATTTTTCATGACCTCATTGGAGAAAGAGGAATTCCTAAAAACAAACAAGCTTACCCAGCACACAAAAGGAACCTCATCCCTCCCAATAGCCTCACCTTATTACATTTATGTATTTATTGTGCATGCATGCTCATGTGCCATGCTGTGCATGTGAAAGTCACAGGACGACCTCCTGATGTGAGCGCTCAGCTTCCACCAAGTGTGTCCTGCTCAAACTCGGCCTGTCAGGGTTAGCAAAAAGCGCCTCTAGCTGCTGAGCCATCTTGCCAGCCCCAGAGTTCTGCCCTGAAGGATAGGAACTCACAGGCGCTCAGGCACCTTCTGCTCAACCAATGGTCAAACAGCTTGGCTGGGGAGACCAGCCCCCCCCCCCCCATGGGTCCATGCTGATTCACAGTAGGGGACAGGAGTATCCTACAGCTTCTGAGAAGAGGTGGGGACTCGATTCATTCGGTTCCGGGGCTGGGGGACAGCCATGGGGCGGTGACGTGATTTCCCTTCTACAGATGAAAACGAATGTGAGCAGAACAATGGTGGCTGTAGTGAGATCTGCGTCAACCTCAAAAACTCACACCGCTGTGCGTGTGGGGCTGGCCGCGTGCTGAGGAGCGATGGGAAAACCTGCGAAGGTGAGACTGGGTAAGGAGGGTAGGCAAACCCAGAGTCCAAAGGGAGCCACATTTGGAAAGCTGCCCCGGCCGTAGAGGCGAATAACAGTTTGTCAGCATAAGGCAGCGACAAGGGGTTCGTGGGGACTGGGGGTGCTTAAGCTGTGGACAGAATTCAGTATTGATTTTGTCTTCAAGACTGAAGAGGAGTGGGTTTTGCAAGAAGTGGAACGCTGTGGGGAAACTAACGTGGAGTAATACTCATTTTTCTCAAACTTCAGTGTGCCCCCAAATCCCATAGGATCTTGTTAAGGTGCAGATTCGGACTGAGTGGTGTGGGGTCAAGCTGAGGTGACTGTGTTTCTAGATAATGACTAGGTGCCTGAGGCTGCTGGCAAGAAGCTCTGAGTGGCGTCGTGGAGCAGAGCATGCTCTACAGCTCTCAACCTTCCTGGGCCTGAGACTGGCCTCCCACCCAGCCCCCACCGGACCTCTTGTGGGCGGGGAAGTCTGCTTCAGTGGGCTGGGATGGGGCCTCAGAACTTAGAATTTTAACAACTTCCATGGGTGATTTTTATTGTCTTAGAAATTTGAGAAACTGCTTTTACACGAAGTCATGTTTTCCTTTGTGTTGGGGGAGATTCATATATTTTTAGAGATAAAATTATTTACTTAAAAATTTTAGGCTTATTTATTTTATTTTATGTATATGAGTATTTTGCCTGCATGTGTGTATGTATACATACATGCATGCCTGGTGTCCATTGGGGTCAGAAGAGGGTGTTGGAGCTCCTGGAACTGGAGTTACTGATGGTTGTGAGCCACCATGTGGATGCTGGGAAAAGAAAAACAAGTGCTCTTAACACTGATCCATCGCTCCTGTCCACAAATAATCTTTTTTAAAAAAGATTAATTTCTTTTTATGTGTGTGGGTATTTTGTCTGCATGGATGTCTGTGCCCCATGTGCATATCTGGTGCTCAAAGAGTCCAGAAAAGTGTGTCAGAGCACCTGTAACTAGAGTTACAGATGGTTGTGAGCCACTATGCGGGTGCTGGGAATCCAACCCAGGTCTTCTGGAAGAGCAGCCAGTGCTCTTAACCACTGGGCCACCTCCCTAACTCCATTGTCTACTTTTAATAACAGAGATGCTGTGTGTACACGGCTTAGTAACCAAAAACTTATTGATGTATTTCAAGGAATTGAAATGAAATTGTCTATTATTACCCTCTTACTTCTTAAATGATATAGCATTTCACATAGTTATGGGATACTAGGTATGATTCAGTAATCTGCCACTGTTTTGTGGGACTCAGGTCGTGCGCTTGTTACAGCTAAAGTGACATCATATCTGTTTTCACAAATCTGAGGTCCCGTAGCGTTCTCTGCAGAGTGTGCCATGGAGAGGTAAATGGCATAGTTGTTATTATTTACAGAGGACACATGATTTGTCCTTCAGGAGAATTGAACTTGTGTATACTTGTGTATTAATAGAGCTCTAAATCCTATATTAAAATTTGTTGTATTCTCGGCACATTCAAGATAATAAAATATCATCCCAAAGAGAAAAATTATGAGTCGTGTCCAACAAAGTCTGCATTATTAATGCAGAGAACGTTAACTGGAGCACTAAATTGCTGTCCTTATAACAAGGCTAAATTATTTTAAATTTTATTGAATAAGGATAATGTGTGGAATCTTCCCTAAATCTTAATAATTTTGTGTAATAATTTTTGCATATTTTAATAGTAATAAAATATTCCTTGAAGAACATTTGTAATTATTCATGAGCACTTTATTGAGACTATTATGGTTAATACTCATATAACCTTAAAGCCTAATAACCATAACTGAAAAATATTTAGCAAATGATAAAAATTTTATGTGTCCATATGAGCAATACTTTAGGAATACTGTTTCTATTTATAACATTTAACTTTTTTTGAAAGACTAAATGTATTTGTTTCTTTAGTGCGGCTATTAAATGGTTATAGCTTTTTAAAAATTAATTATACTTTTAAATTTTTAAGTAAATTTGAATAGTTTATGATATAAATAAGAAACTAGAGAAAAGTAAAGGGGAGAATGCAAATGATCCTCAATCTCTGTCGCTAGGTAGTTCCACTCTGAACATTTCACTCCACCATCCCGAGGGGCTGAAATCCTTTAAGGCAATTTGGATTTTTTTGGTCTATTTTTTCTTTTGCATTTTTACATCTGAAAATGTTCAGTGTGATCAGTTAGGGTTACCCCTTCATCTTACAAACATTGAAATTGCAACTTAGAGAAATAAAATGATTTCAGAAAGGTCATTTTGCAGGTGGAGGCAGCAGGGTGCTGACTGAGTGTGGTGAGCACCTCAGTGATCCCCAGTACTGAAGGATCCCCAGCCTTCTATTAGAAAGGAAAACACATGTTAATGTTGGTATTTTTGTTTTGAGAGAGAGGCTCTTTTTATGTACCCTCAGCTGGCCTGGTACTTGATATGTAGACCAACCCGCCTCTGCCTCCAAAGTGCTGGGATTAAAGACGTATGCCACCACTGCTCGGCCCTACTCAATCGCTTTTTATCCATCAGTATGTCTATAACATTTTAACTTATATGAATATATTAAATGGTACAACAGTTAAGAAATGACTTTTGGGTCTTAGTCATAAATATTCATGACCTCACTCTAATCATGAGAAAAACATGGGAGAAATTGAGAGACCCTCTACAAAATGCCTGGAGCGCCTCGGGAAGTGTTGCTGTGGATGGAGGGTCAGGCCACTCTTGGTGGTCACAGCCTTTAATGGGTGTTTTCTGGGTTTGCCTCATGTTTCACTTACCACATTAGAGCACAGGGATTCTGCCATGAATCCAGAATCATGTCTGGTGATTAACGCTAGGATTCCTGCAGCAGAGGGTCTCATGGTGACTCGTTTTTTTTTGTTGTTGTTGTTGGTTTCTTTTTTTTTTTTTTTGGTTCCCTCTGCAGACATTGAAGGATGCCACAATAACAATGGCGGCTGCAGCCATGCTTGCGTTGGATCTGAGAGGGGCTACCAGTGCGAGTGTCCCAGGGGCTTGGTACTGTCTGAAGACAGCCACACCTGCCAAGGTAGACAGACCCTCTATGTCTTTCTCAATGAGATGTCTGTAAATTCATTACGCGACTTTGTCCAAGTTAAAGGATAGACTGCAAGGTTTGACTCTCTGTGGATCCACACACCCTCCCCCACTCAACCTTTGCCCTCCCTCCTCCAAGACTGTCAGCTTCTTATCTTTCAGAACACTGACTCTGAGCACCATGAGCTCCTGAGTCACCATTCTGGGGTGTGATGGCTCATATCTGTAATCTCAGCACTTGGGAGGTGGAGACCAGAGCCCTGCCTGAGAGCAAGGCCAACCTGAGCTACACAGTGAGACCTTGTCTCAAAAACAGACAGGAGTGAAAGAAGGTCTCTTTTTTTTTTTAAAGTCAAAAAACGCTAACTTTCCTTTGCTGTTTGCCTCTGAGTTCTCTGATTTCTATAGCCAACGGTACAACTACTCCTCAATTTGGAAGTATTGACCCAGTCCTTATTCAACAGTTTCATGGGCCCAAACTAGCTTGAAGGATGATGAATGATGGATTCTTCCCCCATTGATATGTTCTGAGAACGGTTTTCTAGTTCTTGGTGTCTGGGATAATAATTCCAGCAGCTAGCAAACAGTGACCAAGCTTCTCCCGTTTCTCATTTCTTTGTGCATCTCTTTGCTGAGATGTGTGTTCACAGGTGGGCATGGAGTTGGGGGGGCAGGGAGGCGGGGCAGGGGGTGCGGTGGGGAGAGGGGGCGGGTTCTGGCAGGACCCAGTCCCCTTCAGGGTGTTTGCAGGGTCAGAGGACATGAGGGCAGGAATGCTACAGAAAAGCAAACTCTTTTTATTATTAAATTCAAGTGGAATTTATAGTCAGAGTTTACCGTTTATTGAGTCGCTCAAGGACAATTTGGAAGGTTTCCAGAGTGCAGGAACACTGTTTATCACCTGTTTAATGGGGCAGTAATTAATGGTCAAAACACAGCAGGTCTGTTGTGCCATTTAAACCCATGTCAGCAGTGTCTTTCCTGGGCTGCCAGTAAACTGTGTTGGCATTAAAGTTCATCCTTGGGGTGTCTCACTCCATGGAATCATGCGAGCCACACTTTGGACAGGCGTTTGTTGAGCTGAAGCTTAATCACACTATTGCCTGCTAAAAGGAACATGTGATTTGAGGAGCACCATTGACCATAATCTTGGGAGTTAGTGATACCGATTGTGTTCATCAACTTGCTTCCAGCCCTTTCCTGGAGGAAGGAACAGAAAGTGCAGGTTGTGTGAAGGAGAAAGCATTCCCCTAGAAGCCTTCCTTAGCCTTTCCCCCAAGACAGGTTTCATGTTCTAACAGAATCCCCTCTCACACAGTCCCCGTGTTGTGCAAGTCCAACGCCATCGAAGTGAGTGTCCCCAGGGAGCTGGTTGGTGGCCTGGAGCTCTTCCTGACCAACAACTCCTGCCGAGGAGTGTCCAATGGCACCCACGTCAACATCGTCTTCTCCCTCAAGACCTGCGGTACAGTGGTTGATGTAGGTTCCCGAGTGGACACTTAGGGAATGACCCAAATTCCCTACTTGGGAAGGCAGTTGACAGAGGGCGTAAAGTGTGGCTTGTGTCAATGAGATAGGTTCCCATAAAAATTCTGAGCTCCAAACATCCTCTGCCCTGCACCATGGTCCTGGAACTGTGAGGTATGGAATGAATAACTCAGCCATCCCTGTTCTTACACAGCCCTGAGCAACCTGTATGCAAGGTGTTTTCCTACATCACCTCCAGTGGTACCAAGAGGCAGGATCCACTCTCTGTAGTCAATTATTTGGAGACTAGGGATGATAGGGACCAAAGGGCTGGTGGTTCATTTGTGACAGGCTGAGGTTAAAAGGTTTATGGTTTGTTTTTGTTTTTGTTTTTTCCAAACATGCTCACACCCTCATACTGGAAACTCAGAGGGTTCCCGCCTGTTAGGAAGCTCACAGCAGTACTGAGATGTCAACACATAAAATGTAAATAAGGGCTGGGCTGTCCGACACGTGACAGGGACTCCAGGAGTCCATGAAAAGGACGTGTGTAGCTCCCACAAGCAAAGAGGCAAAGAACCTTTTGATGAGGAACACGGGAACAGAATCTTAAGGGATTCTCCAGGTCCATGCTAGGGAAAATTCCTTGCAGCCTGCCCTGCAAGGAATCCTCACCAGAAAACGACACTGGAAAGGACCTGGGGTCGAGATCGCTTCCAAAGGCCTGGCTTGTGTGGTCGGGAGAAATAGCAGGTCTGAGTCCACAAAAATGGGACTCAGCTGGGGGCTGTGATCCCGCAGTGTGCAAGATGGGTGATGTACAGAGGACTGCTTACAGGTCAGTGCAGAGGCCTTAGTGGTCATTTATGAGTCCTGAGAAGTGAGTCAGAGGGCTGATCGCTGTGGGTGAGATTCAAGGTAGCTCCTGAGGAACAGCGGTTCCCTGTTGAGGCAAGCTGTGTGGATTGTTTCTGTGGATAACCTGATAGAATAGCCGGTAACTGGCGGTACCACTCCCAGGGTAAACAGCTGAAAATCCTCAGCACCAATGCGGGTGCAGATTCGGGAGGAATCCAGGCATGCTTAGAAACAGCGAGATCCTACATCTGGAACTCCTGCCGAGAGAGCATGTGGTGCTTGTCCTCTTCGGGATGCCAGAGCTTGGGCTTTGCTGGTTCTCTCCCTAGATCAGTTTTCATGCCTAATGCACCCGAGCGATGCCTGGGCCAACCAAGAAGTAGCCAGCATGCTGGCTTAGTCTGACTGTCTTACTAACCCACAAGAAGAGAAAGGGCTTGATTCACTTGAGGCCAGCCTGGGCAACATAAACAGCCCCCCATCTCAAAACGCACGCACTCAAACCCAAGCTCTTCTGGCGGAAGGAACAAAATCTGTGATGTTTGACATATCAGGTGTTTGGAGGATGTTAAGGTAAGAAGAGAGGTAACTAGAAATAAATCTCACAATCTCCGTTCACCTCGGACGGGCACAGGTGGTGAATGACAAAATCGTGGCCAGCAACCTCGTGACAGGTCTGCCCAAGCAGACCCCTGGGAGCAGCGGGGACATCATCATTCGGACCAGCGAACTGCTGATCCCGGTGACCTGTGAGTTCCCACGGCTGTACACTATCTCTGAAGGATACGTGCCCAACCTGCGCAATGCGCCTCTGGAAATCAGGAGCCGAAACCACGGCATCTTCCCCTTCACGCTGGAGATATTCAAGGACCACGAGTTCGAGGAGCCGTACAGGGAGACTCTGCCCACACTCAAGCTTCGCGACTCACTCTACTTCGGAATTGAGCCCCTGGTGCACGTGAGCGGCCTGGAGAGCCTGGTGGAGAGCTGCTTCGCCACGCCCACTGCCAAGATGGATGAGATACTCAAGTACTACCTGATCCAGGACGGGTGAGCACTGCCTCGCTCTGTGTGTGTGTGTGTGTGTGTGTATGTGTGTGTGTGTGTGTGTGTGTGTGTGTGTAATATATTATATATTATATTTTCATAATAAGTAACTCTGTTTACTGATAATAAATGATAAAAATAATTTAATTGCAATTATTCTATTTTTTAAATTATTACATAATTTTTAAAAAGCAGATTTGAGGTACAACTGAATTTGATCATAAAACATAGAGAATAATTTTATACTTGAAATGCCTACAGAATGCCTAGGAAGAAGTTCAGTGGGGCCACTAGAAATGTGTGGTTGTCTCAAGAACAAAGTCAGACCTACAGGCAAAGGACATGTGACTAGGATAGGCTAACTTGCTCAGAGGGGCCAGAAGTCAGGGAGGGGGAGGGCTGTGGGAGACACTGAACCAGCTCATGGAGACTCCACTTTCAGGAAGTTTGATCGTGGGGACTGGGAAAATGGCTCAGTGCTTGAAGTGCCTGTCACAAGGGTGAGGACATGAGTTCAGATCCCTAGAACCCAGAAGCCCACTGCACCTGGGTTAAACAGTCTACCTAATCTATGAGTTCCAGGTTCCGTGAAAGACCCTGTCTACCTAATCTATGAGTTCCAGGCTCAGTGACAGACCCTGTCTACCTAATCTATGAGCTCCAGGGTGAGAGACCCTGTCTACCTAATCTATGAGCTCCAGGGTGAGAAACCCTGTCTACCTAATCTATGAGCTCCAGGGTGAGAGATCCTGCCTCAATAATTAAGGTGGAGAGAGACTGAGAAAAACACCTGACATTGACCTCTCACCTCCACACATGCACACATGTGTACCCACATGGACACGTACATACACCCATATGAACATGAACATACATCACACATACATACACACAAAAATAAAAGTAAGAAATGAAGTTGGTAGTGTTGCAAAGAGAAGAAATTCTTGGTTGATTCTGGGGAACAAATATCGAGATTTCGGTGGCATCACCGAAAGGTTGGGGTTTGTGAGTATGTGGTGGCATCAATAAAAATCTAACTGCTCCCCAAATTCTTATCAAGGTTTTGTTCTTCCTTGGCCTAATGGCAGCTGGGACACATCTCCAGTGGTCAGGAACTGCAGCCTCCTGAATGGGAGAAGGGTCGAGTGTGTGCCACACAACATTTCTCCGGTTCTTCCCTTCCCTTATTGGCCCAGTTCCCCTGGAAGTTTCTAGTCTGCTTCAGCTTCTAGTTTTCCTCTCACCACAGCTACTCCTCATGCAGCTCTCAGTGCCTTGAACAGTGGGTTCAGAGTCCTTGGTGCATTGAGATCAGCTTGGAAGCCGATGCCTTTACACTCGCTGGGGATGAGTCACCTGCTGTCTCAATGCTGGGGAAATCTGCTTATCTATATGTTATTTGGACTCCAGGTGAAGGACTGTTACCTTCTGTTAGATAGTTCAAAGAAGCTGTGCTGTTTCCCCCTTGATCCTTAGTACATACAAAAGAGAAAAATATCTCTGTGTGTGTGTGAGCATTCATGTACATGCACACATGCACAAAGATACAAAATGGGACAAATCACACAAAGGTAGTCTTGGCTTCTCAGGAGAAAATGTGCATTAATACCTAAAACCACAGCCTTAGCATGTCAGTTAATGTGTCCCTTCTCCAGTTGACCATGACAGGAACCTCCTAGCAATGTGTCAAACTGACCTAAGACAAAGACCACAGACTGTGAAAGGGCAGCTTGCTGTTACATTTGGGAAAAGAAGTGAAACCATTTGAGGCCAGTTGTCACCTGAGAAGCTTAAATGTGTGTGCACAGATGGTTCATTGCCCTTTGTACCCCCTCCTGAGGCTTGTGTCCCTTATAGGAAATGGGTGTTAAGTTAAAGAAGAGCCTTCTCACACTGGTAACCATATTAACCCAGATTCCAACAATAGATCACCAATGGAAAGACAACCTTAGTAGCCAAGGGTCTCTCTGAAACACATTTTGGTGCTTCTAACACATGAAGCCCTTAGTCAAGCAAGAAGTGCTGTCTTCTCTGAGGCTCCATGGATGAAGGATGGGAAGACATGGTACTTAGCCCTACTTAACGAGGTCTGAAGATGCCTTTGACAGGAGGGGATGCCATTCACCCTTAATTCTTACAAGGCTGGCATGCAGCCCAGCACGCTCCACCCACTCTCCCTCTCTCTGGGCCAAATGCCTTAGCCGGGATTGTTTCCTACCCTATGGAGGCGATCAAGTCTGACACACAATCTGTCCCACTTTCAGCTGTGTCTCCGATGACTCAGTGAAGCAGTACTCATCCCGGGATCACCTAGCAAAGCACTTCCAGGTCCCCGTCTTCAAGTTTGTGGGCAAAGATCACAAGGTAAGCTGAACACCTTTGTCTCACAGCCCCATGCCCAAGCCGTCCTTCTCATTGTCTTGATGTGTTGACATTCTAAGAGCCTGCGGTTCGCTTCTGCTATCCTCTGGGGGAATATAGTTCAACTGGCTATCGAGAAACTTAATGCTCATACATGTTACGGTTGCCTGCCCCACCCAACTCCTGTGTAAAATGACTCTGCACAGAGAATATTTTAAGACCCTAATTTAAAATCTTTGTGGGCAGATAAGGGGGAAAAGCCAATGTTACTGTCAGTTCAACGAATAATTTAGACAGGAATCTCACAGAACGGCAGCAATGGCCTGGGAAGAGACTAGAACTCACAATGCTAATCATAGGACACAATAATATGGAATGTTCCCCATGGAATGTGTGGCAAACAACCAATTACAAAGCCATAGGAAGTGAACAGCGACAGTATAAATTGAATTTTTTTGAAGTAAGCTAGTATGCCATAATCGTTAACTCAGCATATGACTTTGTCTAGATACGTTGTTGGCAATGTCACAAAAACAAAACAGTTTGCTGGGTATGTTTATCGAACGTGGTCATAAGAGGGGGAAAGGGGCCCCCAAAGAAGCATAACCAGGGGGCTACACTGTATCAATGTAGTACAACGTTAAGCAGTTTTTAAAATTATGAACATGAGAAAAGCAGGCATGCAGAAAGTGTCATAAGAGCATGTGTATGCATGGGTCAAGATGGCAAGGGGCTGTCCCAAGGGGCTGGGGGTGACCACATGGAGCTTTGGCTGCTGTTACCAGTGTTGAAACACAGCCCAAACGAAGCACAACAGAGCAGCATTCTTTTCCACGTTGCCGCTAAGTGTCCTTTCAAGCTGTTTTGTTGTTCCAGAACTCCAGCTCAGTAGCTGAACCTGCCCTAGGCAGATCCTTCTGGAAAGGACGCACTCCTTTACAACAGGAGTCCTTGACCCCAGTGTTACTCCAGCCCAGGAACTGACATGTTAATGTCAGGAGACATGCTTCCCTAAGGTCTCTTCGGCATGCCAAAGTTGTGGGCCTAGGTTTTGAGGTCACCCACGTGGCTCCCTCCCAACTTGGCCACATTTCTCAACTTGTAGACTGGGCAATTTCCTTTTCCTAAGTCTCACTTTCCTGTCCATAAATACAAGACTGTCACTGCCACCTCAAGTTGTTGCTGCCATGGCCAAGGTGGCACTTGGGGAACATGGGGTACTGTGTGTGGCTCTCAGTCGTCGCCTACTGTGACAGTTGGCACCCCAGCTTTTCCATCATTACCTTCCTTCCAGGAGGTATTTCTTCACTGCCGTGTCCTTGTTTGTGGGGTTCTGGATGAACGCTCCCGCTGTGCCCAGGGATGCCACCGGCGAGTCCGTCGTGAGGTGAGGGAAGACGAGGACTCTGCTGGGCTGCGGAGCCAGACACTGACGGGCGGCCCCATCACCATCGACTGGCAGGACTAGTCCCTGCTTCCAGCCGCCCTCCTCTCTGGAATGTCTTCCTAGGTCCTCTGAGAGCGGCAGAGAACCTCCCAGAACACCTGGCTTCTTTAAACCATATACTGTGAGTTTAGACAACCCCTCCTACCACATGAAAGGATTGATTAGCTGGTTTTGTCCCTGGCTTTTGTCACTACTGACCCGTGACCTGGGTGGACTTCAGTTTCTGGGTTTGAAGAACTATGTTGTCCCCATGGAAGGACAGCTCCTTCATGTTCTCTATTTCTTTCTTACAATAAAACACCTCATTTATGGTAAAATGAGGTGCTGGGAATAGCATTCTAATTTAAAAACCTAAAAAGATGAATTACTAAAACTATAACTCGTGATCTCCTAAATATATAATAATTATGTCCTGAAATTCCAACCCCAATACAGAATATTTATAGGAGAGTTGAAAGTTTATCAATAAAAACAAATTCATAAGATGCTTAAGAACATTGGCTGCTCTTGCAGAGGACCTGGGTTCGATTCCCAGCACTCACATGGTGGCTCACAACTGTCTGTAACTCCAGTTCCAGGGGATCGGATGGCCTCTTCTGACCTCCTCAGGCACCAGACATGCATGTGGTGTGTAGACATACATGCAAGTAAAACATTCATACGTATGAAGTAAAATAAAACAATTTAAAAAATTGCCAGCATGCATGTAAGTGGTTCAATGGCTGGACTGAACAATAAGCAAAACTGAATTTTGGTCACAGATGCCCTGAACATTGGTATCCTGTGCCTTTGGTTAGGTAACACAATAGGAAACGGTATCAAATTATACCATACTCTTACTTTGCAGGTGCTCAATAAATTTTATTGAAATAAATATCATAAACTACAAAGATAAATGTTATCTGCGGTTGAATATGGCTCCTTGATATTCCAGTTAACTCCCGACTTGACAAGATGATCAGCGAAGAGTTCTTTTTCTTTCTCAAAGCGGTTGCAACGGACAGTTCCTTCTTTTTCTCTTTAATTACCATGTGGGGAGACTGACAATTCTGGTTCAACTTAATGAAATTAGGAAGAAAGGAAGTAGGAATTTCGGGTCAGAGAGCAGAAATGCTTCTCTACATGGTCAATGATGACTATTTCAGACTTTGGGACCTTTTACTCTCTGCCATACCTCTCTTTCTCTGACGTCACAGGGTGAGAGCAGCTTTAAACAAATAGAAACAAACATAAAAAAGTGACCGTGGCTGTGCTCTCAATGGCCACACAAAACAGCGGGCCTTGGACTGAAGCTGGCCTGTGTGACTTTGTTGGTCCAGATTGGTGGCCTTCTCAGGGCAACAGGACACCTGCAGAGTGTCATAGGTGGCCCAGGAACAGCAAACAGAGTCTTGGCTGCCTCCATTTAGAGGGTCCACACGAACTCCTAATCCATGGTCAGTACTGAGGGCCACAATTTAGGGACTGGCCCGTCACTCCCTGTCAGCTGCAAGCATGTCTTCTAGCCCTAACCAGACACATCTCAGATCTTCAAACGACTCTCACGCAGCTACGAGTCTGAGCATACCAACCAGGGCAGACCAAACATACCACCTGAGGCAGGCTACTGGAGGGAGAAATGGAACCTCGGGGACCTATTCCAGCCCACCTTTATCCGCCAGGCCTCCGCTCTCCCACCTGTTGTCTCTCGAGCCCCCGGGAGAATCCTCATTGGCAGAACTTACCAGGCCAGATTCTGTTCTCGTTAAGCGAAATAGAACTATCGGTGAGAACGGAATTCATTCATCTCTCTTCATGTTTTCTAAAAAGTGCACTTTATTAAATGTGAGGTGCTCACTGGCAACTGAAACATGGGCCAGAGGAAAGTCATTGTCTCCCAAATGTTTGGGCTCCCCCAGATTTCGCTTGTGACTATCGTGATCGGATCTAGGAATGGCGCGGTATCTGCTTGCTGTTCTGAGAACTGAATTTCCAGGCTCATGAGTCTTGACTGGGAGACCAGTGTTAGAGTGGACAGTCTTCAGCCTCTGCATCTCTTTTTTCTTAACTTTCCTCAAAGGACAAGGCTTGCTATCTCCCTTCTCCAGCCCACAGTCTCCAAAGGGTTGGAAGAAAGGATGGCCCTTCCGTCCACCGCCATCTCTGAAGTGGAGCCGTGGTGTCACTCAAAGCCTGAAAGATTTGCGTCTTCATAACTCTTCTTTCTCCTCCTCTGCACAGATGCAAGCTGCCCGCTGACTGTTCATAAAGGGTCGGCAGCCCAGGGTCCACACGGTGTTGAACACGGTGTCGGCCAGAGAATCACAGGCTGCTTGAAAAAGACGAACAGAGACAGAAGGTCAGCAGACGTCACCCCGTAGCATGTGAGGCAGCACATTTCCTGGGTGATCCCCAGAGGATGACAGACAGAACACAGAATTGAGAGGACCAGCATACCTTTAGGAGAGGCACTTTCAGAAAAGCCCCTCTTCGGTCCTCACATGTGTGGTACCCCTGGGGAAAGTCATTGAAATCCCACACCATCGTGATTTTAGAATACTCACTCAGACTATACTACTTTGTTTCCCATAGCTTGCCCTGCTCAAGTGTGGGGTACACAATCATTTGCAGCTTGAAGAATATGTGTATGAGAGATAGGCTCATTCTCTTGGGTGCCAGAGATAAACAGAAAACAATACATCATCCCCCATCTCGAGGATCTCATAGTTTGGGCCAAGAGGAGGAGCAGGCAAACAGGACAGCGGCTAATTATACTCCACTATGAAGACAGTAACCATAAGGTGGCTGGGAACTCGCTGAAAGGTTCCTGTCCCTTGGGAGAAGAGGCTCTGAGGGAAGGCATCCCAGGGAAAGACCTCTGGCTCACTAGTATAAGGGACACCATGACATGCCAGGAAATTTAGACAAGTTAGAGGAAATGGAAATTCCATGCTGAACTGACTCAATAAAATAGAAAATGGAAATAGTGCTAGTCCCCCCAAAATACACCTCTCAAGGAAATCCATTTCCCTATGTAGACCAGGCTGGCCTCGAACTCAGAGATCCACCTGGCTCTGTCTCCAGAGCTGGGGTTGAAGGTGTGCACCACTCCTGACTCCAGCTTTTTTTTTTTGCTAGATATTTAAAGAACTAACAGCCATCCCTTCTAAATGCTTCCAGAAATTAGGATTATGTCTTTCATTTTATGAGGTCAGTATTATGTTGATAACAAAAATCAGATAAACCAGAGGAATTATAAACCACTCACAGGTATTTCTCGTGACTAAACGTAACATCTTCAATGGATACCAGTCAACAAGACTCAGAAACACATAAGGGGACTCACACCATGCCCACGTTGCGCTTATCCTAAGAATGCAAGCTGGTTTAACACACTAAAATCAGTACAGCCTATGACCGACCAATAGAATAAAAGCCATAAGCCACATTCTGCAGAAAGACTCCAACCCCTTTCCATGATAGAAACGCTCAACAACCCAGGAGGATGACTTCCACACCTGCCAGGGGTCACCTAGGAAGATGCAGGGCCAGTCTCGTGCTCAGAGCTAAGCTGATTCCTCTTCCCTGCAGGACAGGGAGAAGATGCAAGGATATGAAGTCCTAACACTCCTGTGGGGCAATTAAAGTTCTAGCCAGAAAGGCATTCAAATTACAGTGGGAAAGGATGTGCTGGTGACAACTTATGTAAAGACTCAGAGATGCACTGAAAATCTATCAGAACTAATCAATTAACTCAGCCAGATCGCAGGATAAATCAATAGGCAGAAACCAACCGATTGTCTTTCTGTATAGCATCAATAAATCATCTGTCAAGAAAATTAAAAGGGCAGGAGAAAGGGCCCAGTGGGTAAAAGCCCCTGCCTGACATAGCCTGAGTTTGTCCCTGGAGCCCATGTGAAAAAGCTGGAGTCAGGAGTGGTGCACACCTTCAACCCCAGCTCTGGAGACAGAGCCAGGTGGATCTCTGAGTTCGAGGCCAGCCTGGTCTACATAGCGAGTTCCAGTCCAGCCAGGGCTGCCCAGTGAGACCCTGTCTGTAGCAAACACCAGCAGAAACAACAGCTGGAGCAGTGGCTTATGGCATCATTTCAGCTTTCCTAGAACGAGGTGAGAGGCAGGCGCAGGAGAATCACCGGGGACACCGACACTAGGAAGTTGTCCCGAGACCTTCACATGGTCTTTGTGATGAACACACATGTGAAAAGTAAGACCAAGACTGAAGAGATGGCTCAGCGGTTAAGAGCACTAACTGCTCTTCCAGAGGACCTGGGTTCAGTTCCCAACACCCACATGGCAGCTCACAACTGTCTGTAACTCCAAGATCTGACACCCTCAAACAGACATACATGCAGGCAAAACACCAACAGCATAAAATAAAAATAAATTAGATAAAACAAATTAAAATTTTTAAAAGAAAATGAAGAAAACAGTTCCATTTACTGTAACATCACAAAGGAATTACCAAACAAAGTGCAAGACCTATACTATGAACGTGGTAACACTGTGGGAAGAAATGAATGAAGAGATAAGCAAATAGAAAGACATTCATATTCTTGTACTGGAAAATATAATTTTGTAAAATTGTCAATATTGGAATTTATCCACAGACTCAAACAAAGCTCTGAGAATGACACCTGCCATTGCTTGCAGAAATTAACAAACCAATCCTGAAAATCCATAGAAATGACCAGAATCTAGTGTCTGGAGAGATCTAGATGAAGAGCAAATCAAGCACACATCTTATCTTCCAGATTCACTGCGACGCTGTGGAGCTAGGGACAGGGCTGTCCCAACTCCTGCTGGAGCAGGTCAGTGGAATAGAATCAGGTCAAAAGTCGCCAGACCACTGTTTACAGTTTAATGTGAGTAAGAATGGTATTTCCTACAACAGTACTAAATCAGCTGGATACCCACACAATGAAAGTGGACCCCATTCTCACACCATCTACAAATGATCTGCAAAACGGATCACAACCCTATACCAAAAGCTAAGATAATAAAAGTCTTAGAAGAAAAGACCAGTAGGTACTTTTGACCTTGGGCAAGTAAAAGCCTTATTACCACATAAGACAGCAAAAACACCATTGATGAAAATTAATAAATTGAACTTACTCAAAATTCAAACTTGCTGGGCCTCAGAATAATAACACTGAGTAGAAGCTGCTGTGGTGGTGTCCACCTGTATCTCCAGACCAAGGAGACTGAGGCAGGAGGATCTGGGAGTTTGACATCATCCTGGGCTACATGGAGACCCTGTCTCGAAGTGGGCCAGTGAATACTTGTAAATCATTCATCTGACAAAGGACAAGAAACAAAGAGCTCTCTGGACTCAATGTCAAAAGCAAATAAAAAAGCCAGGCGGTGGTGGTGCACGCCTTTAGTCCCAGCACTCGGGAGGCAGAGGCAGGTGGATCTTGGTGAGTTCGAGACCAGCCTAGTCTACAAAGTGAGTTCCAGGAGAGCCAGGACTGTTACACAGAGAAATGTTGTCTCGGAAAAAAAAAAAAAAAAAAAAAAAAAAAAAAAAAAGCAAATAAAAAAGGTAATGAACCTAGATAGACATATCTCATAAGCACGTATATGTTCAACATCATCAGTTGTCAGGGAGATACTCAAGAATCTGTGACAAAAATGATAATGAATGTTGACAAGGATGTGAAGAAACTGGAGGTTTGGGGGGATATAATATGGTGCAGCTGTTTAGGAAGACAATTTTTCAGGTTATCCAACAGTTCAACATATATTAACCATATAATCCATCAATTTCTTATATATATATGTATATGCATATATGTGTAAAAGAATGAAAACATGGTTCCTGCAGATATTCATATGTCCGTGTTCATGGTAGCAGCATTAATGCCAAAGCCAGCCCAAATATCAATCAATGGACAGATAAAGATGACATGGGAAGACACACAGTGGACTATTATTCGGCAATAAAGAGGAATGACCTTCCAGTACGTTCTACAGCAGTGGTTCTCAATCTGTGGATCGAGACCCCTTTGGGAGTCTAATGACCCTTTCATAGGGTTTGCCTAAGACCATTGGAAAACATGAATATTTATATTTCGATTCATAACAGCAGCAAAATTATAGTTACAAAGTAACAAAAATAGTTTTGTGGTTGGGGGGGGGGGTCACCACAATCTGAGGGACTGTATTAAAGGGTCGCAGCATTAGGAAGGTTGAGAACCACTGCTACACAGCATAGATAAATGAAATAAAATGGTCAGAGAGATCCATGTATTTTGATTCCACTATATAAAAAGTCTAGAATAGGCAAATCAATAGAGGTAGAAATTAGACTGATAGTTGCCTTGGGCTGAGCAAGAAGAGTTGGAGGGAAATGGCAATGAGATTTCTTTGGGAGATGATGAATATGGGGTTGAGCGTGCGACTCTGTAGACATATTCAACTAGTATTTAAAAGAGCTAAATCATACGTAAATCACATCTCAGATACACTGTCTGAGTACCACCAACGCATACTCAGAATGTTTCATGCAGAAGGAACTTAAGGGTGGAAAGCCTGGGCCTTCAACCCTGTTAGATTTCAGTGTGGGGGTCCAAAGGGAGATCTGGATGTCTGAATGATGCTAAGGAGGTCGCCTAGGGCCGACCTAGAAAGAGCTGTGCAAGCCGAACTCCAGAGTTTTATTTAGTCTATAGGGAAAAAAATTTTTTCAAGTGGCTTCAACTGTAGGCAGAGGCTGTCAGATTTAGGTGATATTGAAATGTAGTTGGTCCCAGGGGATGGCCCTCACTTGGAGAGAACATAAAAACGGAATTTACAGTAACCTGGCCAGTGGGAGAGCGATAAGATACTTAGGAAGGAAAAATCAATAGGACATTGGCCTAGAGCAGTCACCTGACCTGAACCTACACCAACAACAGTTCTTTCCTACCCTTTGTGGACACAGGATAGAGTTCTCCCTTTTACAAGGCCCAATTCATTACCCATATTCCCATATTCTAGACACGGTTCTATGAGCCACATCCAAGATTGTTCCCACAGTTGGTATCTCTGTGGGTCACAGGACCCTGGTTTTCAACCTTTCCCATCTGGGAGCTTTGAACATTAATACCAGGTTATCATGTTCTGGCGTCAGAAGTGGAGAGATTAAAACCTTTTGGACCGTAAATTAGGAAAAAGAAATTACAGAGTTGAAGCTGGGTGCTCAGTCGTTAGGCAGGGTTTAAAAATAATTATCCGGAAGCCCACAGAAAGCTGGAAACACACAGAAGAGGATTTTTAAAGTTCCCACCCAGAGTGAAAGCAAATATGAAAAGGGGCTTTAGCCAGACCACGTGGTCCTGTAGAGAGGGACTGCTGAGTGGAAAGTTATTTGACAGGGGTGTGGACGCTTTTTCTCCAGTCTTAAAGGAAAGGTTTTTATTCCGTGGAAGCGTTGCTGTGGCCTTTTCCAGCAGGGAAGGTGCCAGCAGTACGTGGACAGCAAGACCTTTCATGAAAGAGTGCCTGGACTCTCCCTCTGCCTTTCCAGCACGTTCTGACCATCTCTCCCCGTAAAGGGCGCCCTGGCTCCCAGTGTGGAGACAGGGGCGAAACTCCCTGCCACCGGGAAGTGTCCTTAAGAGCCCTACCTTCCACGTTGGAGACGAAGCCGAGGCTCCGCTTGAGGTCAGAGCAGATGGAGTGGAGACACCATCGGAATTTCGCATCACAGCGGTATTTGTTGGCACCGCAGGTGTCGTAGCAGACGTCCAGCTGGTTGCAGCACTTGGTCATCGCCGGGATGCCCAGGTCCATCTGGAAAAGTGAAGCAGGAGAGCGCCACGTTTAGACCCAGGACCTGAGGCAACCCTGCCCACCTCACTATGAACTAGCCACTTCTCAAGGGTGTGCCACGCATTAGATTCGTTCAGAAACACCAAGGACTTGGAAGAAGAAGCTCCGAGTCATTGGATGCTGAATTTTAATGTTGTTATTAGCTTCATACATGACTCTAGCCTATTTTTTTCATCTTTCCTTTTGTGAGATTAGTTATTTTCAAATCCACAGCCAGATGTGGTGTGAAAACAGAAACCAGAGGGGCGATCGAGATGATGGCAGAGTACCAGGAGATTCACGTGTGGTTCAAACTTTACGTTTGGGCCTGAGAGTCTGCTGAGGAAAAAGATTCTGTGACTACTCTGAACAATTCAGCCTCAAGTAACTGGGGCATGGCTGGCCTTTCAAGGACCTGTCCTCTCTAGCACTGTTTTAAGGTTGTATGTGAGTTGGGGAGAAAACCGAGGTGCAGGACGCTAAATGCCCAGCCACGAGAGGAATGACGTGATAGCACAGCATGGCACACACTAAGCATCCTGTAAACAGCTGTACCGACTGTGGCATACGATGGGAGAGCATCACACAGTTAGGACACAGGGATTGTGGGGACAGTGGAAGACTGAGAACGTCATGAGAAATGAGGTACATGGGCCTGGGATGTGACTCATCCAGGAGAGTGCTTGCCTAGCGTGCATGAAGCCTTGAGTTTTATACTCAGAACTGCATAAACCAGGCCTGGCAACCTGTATCCCAGCATTTGTGAGGCAGAGGCAGGAGGACCAGAAGTTTAAAGTCATCCTCGGCTACATTTCAAGCTTGAGGCTAGCCTGGACTACATAAGCCCCTGTCTTAAAAGGAGGAGGAGGCCGGGCGGTGGTGGCGCACGCCTTTAATCCCAGCACTCGGGAGGCAGAGCCAGGTGGATCTCTGTGAGTTCGAGGCCAGCCTGGTCTCCAAAGCGAGTTCCAGGAAAGGCGCAAAGCTACACAGAGAAACCCTGTCTCGAAAAACCAAAAAAAAAAAAAAAAAAAAAAAAAAGGAGGAGGAGGGCCGGGCAGTGGTGGCACACGCCTTTAATCCCAGCACTCAGGAGGCAGAGCCAGGCGGATCTCTGTGAGTTCGAGGCCAGCCTGGTCTACAGAGGGAGATCCAGGAAAGGCGCAAAGCTACACAGAGAAACCCTGTCTCGAAAAACCAAAAAAAAAAAGGAGGAGGAGGAAGAGGAGATGAAATAAAATTCAAGTAGACTTAGAGCAGAAAAAGAGAATGAGCAGGTTAACAAGTCAGTTTATTTAATGCGTCAAAGGTTTTAGCAGGAAACGTACATGCATATACATAGGCAGGCAAGCATGTGTGTGCATGGAAGAAGCTTTGCCGACCTTAGAGTCAGTCTGGTTCACTGGCAGTACCTGAAGCACCAAGTTTGAGTCTCAGCACCACATAACAAAACTTATTTGCCAAATTGATAAATAGCTTTGCCTGAGCAAGGAGGAGATAGTTTTAAAAAATAAAAACATGGGTATGTGCACACTCAGTGGTGCGTGAGCTCATTCAGTGATGCATGAGCCCATTCAGTGGTGCATGAGAGCGTTCAGTGATGCATCATTCAGCAATGCATAAGTGCATTCAGTGATGCATGAGTGCATTCAGTGATGCATGAGAGCATTCAGTGATGCATGAGCCCATTTAGTGATGCATGAGAGCATTCAGTGGTGCATGAGAGCATTCAGTGGTGTATGAGAGCATTCAGTGATGCATGAGCCCATTCAGTGGTGTGTGAGCTCATTCAGTGATGCATGAGCCCATTCAGTGGTGCATGAGAGCATTCAGTGATGCATCATTCAGTGATGCATAAGTGCATTCAGTGATGCATGAGAGCACTCAGTGGTGCAGGAGAGCACTCAGTGGTGCAGGAGATCACAGAGCAAGTGAGCTTAGTACTGGAGAGGGCATCTTAGACACCTTTGCAGTTTTCTGATAATCCGGGCTTGGTTTCTTGCTTGCTAGTTTTTCCAAACAGGTTCTTATGTAGCTCAGGCTGGCCCCAAACTCATTATGGCCTTGAGTGAATCCTGCCTCCACACCTGGCTTTGGAAGCTGGGATGTGGATGGGAGATGGTGAAATCCGCTTTCAGGGCACAGGAGAGGAGTGTCATCAGTGATTAGAGAGCCTCTCCACCTAGGGCCTTTCAGGTCCTCTTACTAATCCAAGGCCACCTGACACAACAAGGACTCCACTGTTTAAAATGCCCTGAAGCAAAGCAAAACAACAACAAAATCACATTAAAGACAGCCAGCTCTTTAGATGGGACACAGACTGGGTACAGTCTTGATAGGTAGTCTGATGCCTGAGGCAAAGGATTTTGTCTGGCCACACTACAGCAAGGCAGCTGCCCATAGCTGAAGTGTAATGACCACCACTCCACTGGATTGGATGGGAGATTCCTGAACTACTTCTAAATAGTGTGAATCCATTTGTTGGTTTGTTGGTTTGTTTTTTTTAGATGGTTTCACTGTGTAGCTCTGGCTGGCCTTGAACTCACAAAGATCCACCCCCTTCTAACCCTTGAGTGCTGGCATTAAAGGCATGCACCACCTCTGTACTGCATTAACTGGTTGACTGATTGATTGATTGATTGATTGATTGATTTATTGATTGATTGATTTTGGCAGCAATAGGGACTGAACTCAAGGCCTTGCACATGCAGGTAAGTGTTCAACCACTGAGCTACATCCTCAGTCCCTGTGCATCCCCTTCTAGAATGACTAAACTCACAGCTGAAAATAGGTCATTTCTCTAATCCACTCAGTTGAGAGCATAGTCTTGCTCGTGGATATATACTTACTGCTGATGGAGAACAGGCTGGCCCCAGGCAGTGTAAGGGACAAGAACACTGTATAGAGAGACCCCTTCCTCCAAGACAGTTTTAGTTCCACATACTTAAAACATATCCAGCCAACGGCAGTCAAGCTTCTAACAAAACCAGTGTGTGAGTACGTATTTCTGACAGATGCATGAAAATTGCCCAGAGGATAGAAGACCTTTCTGCAGTTGGTGTGGAAGTGCCAATAGCTGAGCAACAGGTCAGTTAGAAGCAGGCCGCTTAGACAGCAACTGCCCAGTGAAATTCTTGAATCAGCTAAAAATTGAGGCTTAGCTGTATTAAGATCCAATTCAGGGGGCTGGGGAGGTGCCTCAGAGGTTAGGAGCACTGACTGAGCTTCCAGAGGATCAGCATTGACATGGTACCCCGAAACAATCAGTGACTCCAGTCCCAGAGGATCTCACGCCCTCTTCTGGCCGCCATAGGCACTGCAGGCATATAGTGCACAGACATACATGCAGGCAAAAACATCCATACACATAAAATACCATTTCAATATCTATTATTTGATATATAAAACATATATGAAAAATATTTTTTAAAAAGAGACTATTCAGGGCCTGAGATGGATGTCAGTAGGTACTTGCCAAGCAAACATGAAGACCTGATAGTTCAACTCTAAGTGCCCACTTAAAAGTTGGCAGCCTGTAGCCCATCCAGGGAAGGTGAGATAAGAGGATCGAGGGCCAGGCAGTCTAGCTAAATTGGTAAGATCTAGATTCAGTGAGAGACTCTGCTCAGAAAATGAGGAGGATCTGAGGAGAGGGTTCAGTCACTAAAGAGCCTGCTGTGTGAGTGAGTGGGCCGGGGTTCTGACCCCAGCACACACACACAAAAGCCAAGCATGGTAGCCCCCCTGTCACCCCAGTGCTGTGGAGACAGCCGGATCCCTGAAGCTGACTGGCCAGCTGGCCTAGCCAAGTGATGAGCTTCAGGTTCAACACGAGACCCCATCTCTAAATAAACAAACAAATAATAAAAATAAGGTAGAGGGGAGGCAAGATGGCTCCGTGGGTAAAAGCACCTGGCGCCAAGCCTGAAGACTTGAGTTCAATCACCAGGATCCACAGAGTGGAAGGAGAAAACTCTGGTAAGTTGCCCTCTAGGGGCGTGTGCACACACACACACACACACACACACACACACACACACACACACACACACACACAAATAAACAAACAAATTAAAAAAAAAAACAAGTTGGAGATCAATTGAAGGAAACATCAAGTGTCAACCTCTGGCTTCCACACACACATGCACACACGTGCATAAGTATTTGAATGCGCATGTGCTCATAGACACCCCCCCCCCCCACACACACACACACGACATAATGCAAACACACATACACAGGACACAATTCAATATCATAATTGATGTACCTGTAGCTACATTTTATATGAAACCTCTCTTCTAAAGGGCAGGTCAAAAGCAACCTATGAAAGTCTCTTTCTCTTTCTGTGTGTGTGTGTGTGTGTGCGTGCGTGCGTGCGTGCGTGCGTGCGCCCGCCCATGTGATCTTTTGAATGGAGGCCAGAGGACAACATTAGCTATTATTTCCCAGGTGCCAATTCATGTGTTTTTTGTTAGCTTGTTTGTTTTTTTTTTTAAGTCAAGAACTTTCCAAACAGATCAGTTTGCTGCCTAGGGAGCCCTAGGCACCTGGCTGTCTTCACCCCACAGTGCTGGCATTACAAGCAAGTGTCACCATGACCAGACTTTTTAATGTGGGATCTGGGGACCGAACTCAGGTTCTCTTGGTTGCAAGGCAAGCGCTTGCTGACTGAGCTATCACCCAACCCAACCCCTAACTTTTGAGACAGAGTCTCGTGTAGCCCAGGCTGGCCTCAGATTCACTGTGTAGTCAAAGATGACCTTGAACTTCTGAACCTCCTGTTTCAACCTCTGGAATGCCGGAATTACAGGCATGGACCACTACACCTCGCTTATGTGGCACTACCTAAGGGCTTCATGCATCTGGGGCAAGCACTCTACAAAACCCAGACCCTCCCAAGAAACCTTCAAGGAGATCAAGTCATCTCTCGCTCCTAGAAGAAGCTGACAGTCTGAGAAAGGGTCAATGGTGTGCTAACAAATCTCAGCAAACAGCACCTGTGTCAGACTCCAGACTCTGTTGATCTGATACTTTGAACAGGAAGTCAGCCTGCAGAAGTCAGCCAATATAGCAATCAGTTCTTTCTGGCCAGTACCAGCCGCTCCAGTCCATCGCTGGAATGAATTACTAGCTTAAATAAGTCAACATCATCTAGTCATCTTTACATTGTATCTTGATGCCATAAATCGTAGCCAATGCTTATAGAGGTGATTTTGAAGTTCAATTATACCAGAAGCTTAGCAGAGGGACAGCAGTCTGAAAGAAAGAACTCAAGTGTCTGCCTTGAAAATCCTCTCCCTTCCCCTAGTCTTGTTTAAAATACCAAATCACACTGCTTAAGTGGATTCCATAAATGATCGCTTCCATCAGTGATTATAGCTCTTGGATTGCTCGCACTCAAAAACACATCAATCAAGAAGGTAATAATAGTGGTACATACACTTCCTGGTACCTTGATGCCCAGGAAATAGGAACCGCAACCATTGGGCTCCTGAGGTTTGTAGCCAGGTCTGGGCATCGGCGCCTTTCCTAGCAGGAAGAAAAGAGACAAGTAGAAGAATATTCAGAAGTCAAACATTTGACATTCATTCATCAAACAAAAATTTCCTAAAAGCGCATTCCATTTTTCCTTTAAATATCACTATCCCCCATAAGATATTCACATTAGATTGGTAGTGAGGAGGAGGTCACCAAAAATTCCACTTTACCCTTTTACAAACTGAACTATCTTACCCTTTTACAAACTGAACTATCTCCTCCAGACAGTGTGGGGCCACACCCCACAATTCAGAGCAGCACAGTCTGGTCACACACACGGACAAAATCAGTGTCATGCTTTGCCATCAAAGAGATTGACTCTTCACTGAAGGAAGCTTAGGGAGTCTTGGCAGGTGCAGACCAAGCATCACTGACCACAGAACAAAACAAACACCTGGTGTTCAGAAACTCGGAGGAGACAGTCTGGATGCTTTGACTTGTTCATGGAGCTTGAGAATCATTTTAAGATCTTGCAAATGTGTCAAAGGAGTTAGTTCAGTTGTACTGGGGGCGGGGAGGAGTCATCACATAACCTTGACCTGACTGCTTCCTGTTGTGACAGAGCAGGAGGAACCTCTGCCACACACTCCTGTCTCCATGAGCTCGGCCATGCCTTCCTTGCCACAGGGAACTACCGATCCCTCTGAGACCGTGAGCCAAGATAAGTCCTCCCGGTTTGAATTGCTTCTCTCGGGTGTGTATGGCAGAGATGAGCCGTACTGGAGGAGTAGGATTTCTGGGTCGTGTGATGACCCTGTGTTTAATTTTTTGAGGACCCCATACACACACTGTTTTCCCTAACAGCAGTACTATCCTTCATCCTAAGTAGCAATGCTCAATAGTTCCAACCTCCCCACATCCTTGTTCTTCACTACAGGGAACCTAGAAGGGGGATCTCTCCTTTTCCTGCTTCCTGGAGCAGAAGACTTGGGTGCCACACATTCCTGGGAAACTTGCAGTTGCTGTATACATACTTTCTTTGCCCCACTCACCTTCTTTTTTTCCTCCTGGGCTATGTATTTCCTTTCTAGCCTTCATATATCTCCATACATACTAATCTCCCTTTCATATTTTACTTTTCTTTTTCTCTCTCCTGAATTCTGGCATGCCTTATCAAATATATTTTCTGGGTCTAATTTAAAATACTGAATTATGTTGTTCCATTTACTAATTTTCTTTAGACGGACTAATCTGTTTAATTGACCCATTGAAGTTTTTCTTTCACAAGTGATATTTTTCATTTGAATTCTATTGATTCCTTCCTCCAGGCTTGAGCATTCACTTTTCATTAGGTTTTTGTTTGTAAAACTATACTTTCTGTTTATTCAGTAATTTGAAATATTACATTATGACTTCTACTCCTTGGGGATGCTGATTCTCAGTTTGTTTTGGTTATGTTTTGGCTTTGGTTTGGGTTTGATTTTTTTGGTTTTTTTGTTTTTTGTTTTGTTTTGTTTTTTGAGCCAGGGTCTCACTATATATGACCCAGGCCAGGCTGGCCTTGAACCCAGAATCCTTTTGCCTTAACCTCCTGAATGCTGGGACCACAGGCATGTGCCACCATTGATGGCTAATTGTCACATTTTAAATGCTGATTGACTTTTTCCCATGATAGATTATTGATATGGAATGTAATTTTTTTAGTAAGAACTATTTAAAACAAAAAGATTTATTTTAGGGCAAGAGAGATGCTCAGACTACAAGAGAGATGCACAGACTGCTCTTGCAGAGAACTCAGGTTTGGTTCCCAGCACCCAAATCGTGTGACTTCCAACAATCTGTAACTCTAGCTCCAGGGGATTCAACACCCTCTGCTGGCCTCCACAGGCACTACATTCAAGTGCACATACCTCACAAATACACATACATATAATTTTTTTAAAAAATGAAAAAAATTAAAACATTTCTTTTGTTTTTAATTATGTGTATGTGTGTGGCTCTGTGAAGGGGTATGTGCACGTGCATGCTGATGTCTGTGGAGACCAGATGTTTGGGACATGCTGGGAGCTGGAGATACAGGCAGGTAAGGGTACCATTGACTACTGAGCCATATCCCCGCCCCCTCAGTTCTTGTGTCCTGGGTGTATAGCTACAGATCAGCCATCAATCGCTTTTGGTGGCAATTGTTCTAGAACTGTAGCAGGGCCTCGAGTACTGTAAGAGTGTGCTCTGCCACTGATCTATGCTCCATCCCTCCACAAATGGTTTTACCATGACCACGAAAGTCTCAAGCTAGTTAAATCCTTACAGTCACTGTTCAGCTCGGGGCTCCTCAGGCTGCAGTTAAATACTGGGTGAACAGTGATCATTTCCTGTGTATGAAGTGTGCTTGGGTTGGAAATGTTTCAGGTAGACACTCTTCACCTTCATCACTAAGTAGATGGAAGCATCTAGATTCTTCCTTGTAATATTGGGGTGGAGACTATGTAATCTCTTTGCACATGTGGGTGAGTTCATGTGTGTATGTGTGTGGTATATGCATGTGAGGTGTATGGAATGTGTGGTGTGTGTGTGTGGTGTGTGTTTGGTGTGCTGTGTGTGGTGTTGTGGGTGGAGCGTGTGGTATGTAATGTGGTGTGTGTGGTGTGCAGAGTGGTGTGTAGTGTGGTATGTATGTGTGGTGGTGTGTGTGGTGAGGTATATATGTGTGGGTGTGTGTTATCATGTGAGAGGAGGTGCCTGTAATTCACCCGTGTGGAATTAGAAGCACACACCGCCAGGCCCGGGTGTGTGCCTCTGGCCCCGGTGCTTTCGCACACGTGCTGGGATCTGAACTCGGGTCTTCGTAACCAGGTGTTCACGCTTGTACGGCAGCACTTAGGGGATGGCACTGCCTCCCACGCTCTGAGATTGTGAACAACTTCTGTGGAAATGAAGACACTCAAGTCCTTGCAGCTGTTCAGGTTCTTCAGGTGCAGGCTACCTGTCCTCCTTCTGACACTAGACAGCCCTGACCTCGGTCCCAAGTTCCTGTCTGCTCTCAGGTCCAAGCCCGGGATCCCCCAACGTCTGCTTCTGCCCGCCATTATCTTCTCATGTTCTCTTCCTTCCTTCCTTCCTTCCTTCCTTTCTTTCTTTCTTTCTTTCTTTTTTTAGATTTATTTATTCTGTATACAGTGTTTTGCCTGCATGTATGCCTTCACACCAGAAGAGGGCACCAGATCTCATTCTGGGAATTGAACTCAGGACCTCTGGAAGAGCAATCAATGCTCTTAACCTCTGAGCCATCTCTCCAGCCCTCTCTTCATTTCCGAAGATCTCTCTCTCTCTGTCTCTCTCTGTCTCTCTCTCTCTCTGTCTCTCTCTCTCTCTCTCTCTCTCTCTCTCTCTCTCTCTCTCTCTCTCTCTCTCTCTATTTATTATATATACAGTGTTCTGCCTGCACGCCAGAAGAGGGCACCAGATTTCATTGCAGATGTTTCTGAGCCACCATGTGGTTGCTGGGAATTGAACTCAGGACCTCTGGAAGAGCAGTCAGTGTCCTTAACCACTGAGCCATTTCTCCAGTCCCTGAAGATTTCTCTTACCATTCTGCCATGTATGTGTGTATGTGTGTGTGTATGTGAGAGAGAGAGAGAGAGAGAGAGAGAGAGAGAGAGAGAGAGAGAGAGAGAGAGAGAGAGAATGAGAGCAAGAGACAGGCAGACAGACAGACACACAGAGAGGTGTATGTGTGTGAGAGAGGGTGGTATGAGACAGAGACAGAGACAGAAAGAGAGACAGAGAGAGTGTGAGAGTGTTGTATGTATGTGTGAGCATGAGTATGTGTGGGGGTGGGTGAGAGAGGGTAGAGTGTGTGTGTGTGTGTGTGTGTGTGTGTGTGTGTGTGTGTGTGTGTGAATATGTGTGGGTGGCTGAGAGAGGGTGGTGTGTGTGTGTGTGTGTGTGTGTGTGTGTGTGTGTGTGTGAGCATGAGTGAATATGTGTGGGTGGGTGAGAGAGGGTAGTGTGTGTGTGTGTGTGTGTGTGTGTGTATCACAATGGGGAACAGAGTCTGATATCACTAATTGAGTCACATGGGCAAACAATTGAACTGTGTGATATAATTCAATGTGGTTGTCTCCTAAGATTAGGGGTCTTTTACCTGTTCTTCAGATTGTCCTTTTTCAAGTGTTCTACACAAGTTACCTTTTTGTATATCAGAGAAAACTTAAAGAGACTAATGTCTGAATTCACAGACAATGCATTTTTTAAAATTTTCTTCTTAAATTGTTTCTTATTGTATGTGTGTGGGTGCTCTGCCTGCATGTATGTGTGTCTATATACCACATGTATGCCCCGTGTCCTTGGAGACCAGTTACAGATGATTGTGAACCATCCTGTGGGTCCTGGGAATTGAACCCTGGTCCTCTGGAAGAACAGCAAGTGCTGCTCTTAACCTCTGAGCCATCTCTCCAGCCCCCGAAGGCATCTTTTTAATGAGTGCTGGAGAAGGTGCTTGCTGCAGACGCTGGTCGTTTCCCAAGTCACCCCTGGTCTTTTTGCACTTAAGAAATCACAGAAGAAGCCGGGCGGTGGTGGCGCACGCCTTTAATCCCAGCACTCGGGAGGCAGAGCCAGGTGGATATCTGTGAGTTCGAGGCCAGCCTGGTCTCCAAAGCGAGTTCCAGGAAAGGCGCAAAGCTACACAGAGAAACCCTGTCTCGAAAAACCAAAAAAAAAAAAAAAAAAAAGAAATCACAGAAGAGAAATCTCGGTGTCAGTTTGAAAGATGATGGACCGGCCATCCTGCCTGCAGTCCTGGTGACGCAGGGTTGAGTATGAACTGCAGGAAGCTGCTTCGGAGAGAGGGTTTTATTGGAAATGACAGCTAAATCTAGGCAGAGATAAACACACCCTAGCCCCGAGCTGTGCTTTCTGGCTTGATGCTCTGAGCCTAGGCATCAGCAACAAGCTACATTGACATGGAGATTCATTTCCTGGTGTGGTTGACAAGTTGAAACTCTAGTTCTTTGGCAAATGGTAACTCCACTGGCTGCCAGCCTTTTGTA